ATGCCCTTATTCCCCCCCCTCCATACTATGATCCGTACCCAACAATGACGCTAATTCACTATCTTTTACAATCGAATTTTAACTATTCTACAATTAATTATATAAGAATTAAAGTGATCAATTTATATATCTAGTCTAGTGTTATTTTTTCATTAGAAAGTTATAAACTTTTTCAAAATTTTAATATTTACATTGTTAATGTTAATCGCATTTAGTTAAAACTAATATATTTTAAAATTGGCTTGACGTACAATAGGTTATAAATAATTAAAAATATTGTTGTAGCAGTTAGAAAAAATAAGAAATAAATTTAATATAATATACTAAATGTCAGTCAATTTTTCTGAAATGAACAGTTAATTTTCCTTGGGGAAGGAGAGTGTGATGTGGAGATCACGGGATGACAGTGTGGGAGGACAAAGAGATCAAGAATGCACGGAATATATTGGATGACTTGGACTGATCTTGAAAATTTCACAATGTAATTTAGATAATTATCGTTAACTTGTTTTCATATGAATGTTAATATTTATATTATGAACGTTTATGAAAAATATAGAATTTTAAAGGTACAAGTCTGATATTTTTGTTATGTAAAAATGACAGCAAGATTAAAGGAAGGGTTGAGAGTAAAAGCTTCTTTACAAATATGATATATAATAATTAAATTTTTAGAGGGGAGGATCTTTTACATTCTTAATAATGTCTTTATTTCTAATCAAAGGAATTAGATTTAATAATTTTCCTCAGTACTGTGAATAAGGTGTAACTGGTAGAGCACGACTGAAGAGGATAGCGGTGCAAATAATAAAACAAAAGATTAGTAATCATTAATAACTTTGTCTAAATATTTAGAGCGATAAATTCAAATAAAGATTGATAGAATGACTCCGTATCATCATATTAATATTATTATGTCATTGCATCATATATACACTATTTAATATATACTTTTAATCTTATATTTTATGAATTACTATTTTTAGTATAGATTAAATATATATATATTTAATCAACTCGTTTACAACCATCTGTTTAATTCATTTTTGCCCTTAGGGTTATTTTTTTTATATTTTATCGTATGTCCAGTTTTTTATGTCAATCATTTTATGTGTAAATTATATTATATTTTATTTTGTATTTTCTTTTATTTTTATAATTAGCCCAGGGGCCCCTACAACGGGGGGGGGGGTCCGAAGCAACTGCTTCAGTAAATTTGAGTAGGGGTACTTTTTTTTTTAACATCCATCATGATCATGTGATTCCTGGTTTATAAATGTAATAATAAGATCCCCCCCCCCCCACTTAATATTTAATTTAATATATTGACGGAAATTTTGGTCGATGTTTAGTAAATTTGTTATCCGAGATTTCTTGTCATAAATTATTTTTCCAATTTTAAAATATGCCTAAAAATATTGGGAGGGTCTCCTTTGATCTTAAAATGGTCCATTTGTCCATTTTAGGTCAAAATGGACGATTTTTTCAATTTATAGGTTAGGGTTAGGGTTATAAATGATTTTAATTTACCGCGATTAAATAGACCAATCAGAAAAAAATGGACAAAATTTACGATCAAATGACTTTACGATCAAAGTTAGGCAAATCAAAATATTAACCAAAAAAAATGCAAATGCCTAATAAAAAATTGCAAATCGCATAATATAAGAGATGATAAATGGATAGATCACATTAGAAAAAGACATGGTGGGCTTAATATTAATGATATAAAGAAAATGAAATAGTAGCTTTTAAGAATGTTACTCAAAATTGGACAAATAGCAAAGTAATTTTTCTATTAAATATTTAATTGTTTATACCTATCTTATTATAATGGGTATTAAATAGCAATTTAAGAAGAAAGAAGTAAAAATTGGGAATTCAAAGCTGTTGGTATAATAAATATTTTTAATTAATATAATTATCTTTTAAAAGTGTCCTAATAATAAAGAAAATGTGTTAGAAGAAAATATAGTATCTGATGATTCTGATAATGATATGAAATTAGTGAACCTGAGGTCATTTAGTTACTCATATTTTTTATCTACTATATTTTTTATTGGAAGACACAGAGCAGAGATTTGATAAAGTAGAACAAGAAATTCCTATTATCTCTTTACTGGTAATAAATATTCCTTAAATATCTAGTTGAGCAAAGTTATGATGGAGATGAGTGGAAGAATCAATGGTGTGCAAGCCTTGATTAGAGCAGAGGCGCCAAAGGCAGCTTTTATTTGGTGTTATTGTCATCGATTAAATTTAATCGTTGTTCAATTATGCCAATCAATTAAAGAACTTCGAAATGTTCTAGGAATACTAGATGAGATTTATGTCTATTTTAATGGTGTAAAAAGATATGAGGTACTCAAAAAATTTCAGTGTAATGATCTGAAAAAATCGCAACGATTTCTACGCGTTAAGAATACCACTCGGTAATAGTTCCTTATTTATTTAGATTTTAAATGTTTTTTTTTATTTAGAAGCTGGCTATCGTCATATAAAGCTATTGTAAATTTTTTTCAACTTTGATGCCTTGAGGGCAGCTTTAACAAATTTAAAGAATTCTGAAGTTCCTTCCACTTCCACTATGGCTAGTGCTATAGTCTTTAGAATAGAAAAATTTGATTTTATCTTATCACTTAGTGTTTTGGATAAAATATTGTTGATAACAAGTTTGGCTTGTACAAAATTGCAAACCATTTCGAAGGATATAGGGTATGCAATAAATCAAATTCAATTGGCACAAGATTGCTTGATTAATTTGAGAAGTATAATATAAATTATTGTCTTAATTATTTTTTAATCTAATAGATAATAACACTGAATTTTTGGATGTTTTTTCAAAGGCGCAAGATTTTATGAAGGAGAGAAATCACCTTTTGATTTTGAAAGTTCTAGACTTCAAACATTACAAACCAAAAAGAAGAGATATATATACTTTCATCATTAAATATAGAAAATTTTTTTAGCTTTAAAATAGGTGTGTTTTATGCTGCACTCGATTTAATTATTATGCAGTTTAACGAAAGATTTAATGATGATTCCATGAAATTTTTACATCAAATATCATTTTTTACGCCGAAGGGAATGGCAAAAAAATCAATTATTAAAGAAGATATCGAGGATATTTGTGAATTTTACAATTTAAATACAAGTCAAATTTTCGAAGAAATGTTGAAGTTTAGAAATATTTATAAGATGGCCAAAAGGGGCAATGTAATTATTACTCATGACCTAGAGGTTCAAGAATCTAAAGATTTGTCAGATTCTTTTAATTTAAATATTTTTACCAATACATTATTTAGCTTCTTCTGATGATGATGATAATTCAGATTGGAAAAACTATTCATTTATTTTACCTTATCGTTTACTTTTAAATTTTTCTGCTTCCCCTAATTTAAGAATTTTATATAAATATTTATTAACCACAACCTCATGTACTGCCGAAAGAGTCATGAGTAAAATTAAATTAATTAAAACAAGACTTCGCAGTACCATGAAAGATTCTTTTCTCAATAATTTAACCATATTCTATTCTCAATGGAAAAAAATTTATTTAAAAAATTAAATACTGATGAAATTATAATTTCTTTCGCTTCTCTATCTAATTTATCTAAATTATTAATTTAAAAATAATATTTATAAAGATTTATATTATATATTAAAAATTGATGCAATAAAAATTATTTATGAATGTGTGTCATAATTATCATTTTTTGGAGGGGGGGGGGATACTTTTCATGGGGGTATTCTGCTTCATTCGCTGAAAAAGTGTAGGGGCCACTGAATTGGCCTACTCCTAAAATAACATTTTCTTGTAATAATTTATATGACCGTAACCAAGAAAGCACTTGGAATCTTGGGGTATGGTTATCCCCGAATGATCTAAATAAGTGTTTGTTTTAACAGAGATTATTATGGATACACAACTCACAAAACTGTTCTCTTTCTCAACTGGCGCCTTGGGGAATTCGACAGCTCAATCTCAAAGAGTACTTGGCAGCGGAAACCATGTATAACTTTTTACACCGTTTCTGCCTGCAAACAAAAACGATGACGTTGAAAAGGGGATAGTATTTCTCACCTATAATAGACTTATATTATTGGAATATAAAAAATACATTCTCCTCACATGATATAGGCACTCAAGGAAAAATATAGGATTCTATTTCGGAAATGGCTGAGCTACTAAATTAAGCTCGATACAGGTATAGAAACCATCTTCAATATCCGAAGGAAACCACAACCCAATATGCGGTAGCCCCACCCCCTCGATCGTACCAAATTGTGATCTAAAAGAAGGCCATTTGTTCATTTCTACAAAATTTATGTCGGGCATAATATCCCTACCCTAAAAAGCAAGCTATACTCCATGAATTGCATGTCTTTTTAAGAATATAGACAAATAACAAAATCCGATAGAATCGTGGGGTTAGATATTAAAAAAACGCGAAGGTTCAAAACATAACTCATCCGCAACTTTATCGGCCATCCCGAATGTAACCTGCCCCAGAGTATCAATATCCATCCGTTAATTCTATGCCAGTTTTGGCCTACTTATACTCCGCCACGAAATCTACCTCCTAGATACTTTAATTGCGGACGAATGGGTCACCTACAAACCAATTCCCTTCATCGACAATTCTATCCGTATCAAGATACCATCCCCGCGATTCGACACCAAGTGACAAAGGCAATTATGAATGACATCGTACATTAAATAAATCAAATCGAAGATGACAAATCCGCTTAACCTTTTATTAATTACATCAATATATAATATTAATCAGGGAATGGTATCAAAATCATATCAAACCATTTTAAATATCAATATACCCATAAATATGTAATAGACATAAAAGCTTCCAAATCTATAATATTTTAGCTATACATGTTAAGATTAAATTATGTATGATCTATATCAACTAAATAAATCTATATTTTATTCAATTAAATGTCATGACAAAAAAGATTAATAATTCTCTTTTTTTAAAAACCATTCATAAGTGAATATGTACAATTATTTAAATATTTTCAGATAATATTTTTCAGCAAAATATAATTTAGCCTTTCATCTTACTTTATAACATTAAGGGTTTCCTATTGCCTCTGACTAATGCAACTAATATATCTTGATACTTTCCTGATACATCATTCTAAACAAATATTATTAAAATTATAAATATATATTATAATTTTACTCTTATATCTTTTTCCAACGGGCTTTTATACATTTTAAAATATTCATTTTTAATGTCTTCTAAATCTATTTCTGATCTAGTAATCAAAATTCTAATCAGATCCTTGTCTTTAGTTCCAAATCCACTCTAATTTATAATATGAAATATTATTTATTTTTTAAAATGAACATATATTTGTTAAATTTTTTTATAAAGATTGTTTACCAAAGTTTATTTCAGAAATCGTAATAATGATTTACCTTCATCGCATGTCGTAGTCTCTTTGCGAAAAAAGATGCAGGATTTCGTATTGCTTCGACTAATTATTATTATCCTTTAAAAATATAATTTTTAAAAAAATAACCTAATACCAATAAGCTTTTTTGGATTTTCCCGGATGTTTCCTTAATGATAGCTTCTTCAATACTGTGACGAGAAATTCTTTGGTATTGATCAAAAATCAATCTTAACTGGGCATAATTTCGCTTGGTTAAAACGTCCACAAATGATTTAACATCTGTCCCGAAGGATCTTTGAACACCGCCTTGATATAATCTCTATATTATGATAATATGATTGAGTATAAATGAAAAGGAGAAGTTACTGATTTTAACATTTTATTAAAGTTATATATATATAAATATATTAAATTATTCAACCATTATCAAATATTTGTTAAAAAAATCAAAATAAATAGAACTCATAATCATGCTAAAATAAACTATATTATTTTACAGATCACCTCTAACTTCAATATTTTGTTACAATTTTTATTTTACATGATAAATTATTGTGTAACTTAAAAAAAATTATAATAATATAAAAAATATGTGTAAACTTTAGCGTCAACGAGAGCTTGTGCAGGATCTACATTTGTAGATTCATCTCTGTCACCCTATATTAAATTAATTTATGATAGAAAAAGAGATTTAATAAAGATTAAACTTTACTAAGCGCGACTAATAAATCTTCAACATATCCTCTCACATCGCCTTTAATCGAGTTGGTAACGTCCTTTTTGTACACTTCACAAAAACACGGTTAATTTAAAAAAACATAATGATAAAGAAGATATTATTTTTATTATTATTGAGAAAATTCAATAAAGGTTCTCCTCTAAAATATCCAATACAGATTTAGAAATTCAAATAAAATATATTATTTAATATTCAATTTATTTTTTACCTCCTCAACATAATAATTTACCTATTTAAACTCCGATGAAAATCCTTATTTAAAATTTATTATTAATGTTAAGAATTTATCATGTTTAATTAATTTGTTTACATCTTCTATAAGCATCCCTCATTGCCTTGATCTGCTGCGGGGTGCGGGTTAGCATAACTTCGATCAAAATATCAAAATCAGTTCCAAATCCCTAGTATAAATTATTAAATATAAAATAATATATTTTGTAGAAAGATTTATATAGTAAGATATTACTTTTATAGATTGTCTTATTATTTGAGCATCGTAATCACCTGGTGGAGTCATCAGCCCAACTAACGCATCTTGGAATTTACGATTAGTATCACTTTTGATATGAGCTACTAAATCCTAAAATTGAAAAAAAAAACTTTGATAACTCATATTCATAATATTCAATTGCCCATAATTCTCTAAAAAGGAAAAATATCATACTCTTTTATGTAGATTTTTATATTCCTTTGCAATTTCTTGTCTTTCAGCATTGGTTCTTCCACCTACCACGCTAATTAATTTATTTGAATCGGTTCCTATAATCAAATCGTTTAAAAAATAAATTATAAATAAATTATTAGGAAAGTAGTATAGTTATTAAAATTTGTTTATTTCGTTAAAATTTCTTTAAGTTAATCGAATGTTATCCTTAAGCAGTGATCTAGTCTAGAGTTTTACTTCAAAGGATAGGAGGGGGGGGGGAGGTTAAATTCTATAAAATTGAAATCAAATTTTACCTATATATAGTAATTTTAACTTTGTGACAGATTTTAATAAATATTTTTTCAGTTAAAATAATTTTAGAAAATAAAATATTAATATGGGGGAAAAGCTATTACATTATAAAATAAGATTATAATATTATATTTATTTTGTTCTTGATTTTTTTAAACTTTTGATTCGAAGCTTTATGGTTCATATTAGAGGTATGCAATGAGCGGGTTTTAACGGGAACGGCTCATTGTTTTTAAAAATATAACCCGATCGTTCGTCTACTTATGGTTTTTATTTATCTAAAAAAATTGTTAAATAAGCCGGCCCACTTAATGTTGAAAATTATTGTATTAGCTGGTTTGGCTCTTTATTTATTTTATTTTAATGTATTTTTACTTAAACTTTATGTGTTATCAAATATTTAAAACATCATGGCCCAACCTCACCATTTGATATTTATTTTTTTTAAAAAATGTTTTTTTCTTTTTATAAGTATCAATCTTTTTTATTTAACTTAAACTAATACATGACATATTTTATTATATTCTCTCTATTATAATGTTTTATGATATAAATAATTTTTAATAAATAGAAGTCTGTTCTGCTCATTTCGCCTGAAAAAATATTTCGAATTCCCTAGCCTATCGGTCTCCCATTGTTATAATAACTTGCCCACCCACCAACCAAATATTTAAATTTCCCAGTCTATCGTCAGCCCATTGTTTTAAAAATATTTTTTAACCTACCCACAGATCCTTTAAATGTTTAAAAGTTCGACACGGCGGGGTGGGGGGAGGGAGGTGAGAGTTGGGACTATAAACTGGCCCATTGCAGAGATCAAGTTTAGATAAAAATTTAATCCCATTTTTAATTTTGAAAAATGATGGGGGGGGGTGATGGGGGGGTACGTTAATACCTTGGAAACATAATGGAAACTACAACAGATTATATTTAAGGTTCCGAACTTATTCTAATCAATATTCGTTAAATATAACTTGAAAATACATCCGACATGCTATTATGAAAACTAATGATCATTGAGAATTTTAATTAGACTCTTTGTTTTAAGTAATAAAACCCTAAAGGATTTCCTGTAAAGAGTTTTATGTTTAAGCCTGTAAAAAGAAGATGAGCAAGATCTTTCGCACCCATGTGTCTAAGTCAAATTTTAAATTATAAAAAATCCTTTAATGTTAGAGAAACTCTGTATAATCTTAATGCTTCTAACATAATATTTGTTCAGATATAATTTTTAATTATTATAATATATCCAAAGTAACTAGATTATGCGACACCTGATTACATTTTGTAATTATAATAATAACTTAGTTTTGATGATGTTTATAAATGAAAATATACTTTTTCAAAATATGGCCAAAATATAAATAAAAACTAGAGAGCTTAAAGACTCCTAAGATATTATGGGAAATAAACATGAGGGGGAAGGCTAGTTCAGATAAAGAAATCCCTTTTTCGCAAGTTTATTTTCTTCGGGATTATTATTTCAACCTCTTCAAAATGTTAGTTGCATAATCGAGTGTTGTGGGACCTAGTGCCGTGTAATCCAGTGTCACCAGGTGACATCAAATTATATATATATTAACCTAATCCTATCAGAGCTTGACCCAAAATTTTTGCATCGGCAATTGGATTGAAATTTGGTGTTGGTTCAATTGTACCTGCTTGCTATAATAATAAAGAAATCAGATAAATAATAAATAAAAAGTAGAAACAAAATTCTAAATATGATAAATATTAAACCCATATGTATTAAAGAATGTGAAAAACACAGACAATTTTTATTCCTTTTTTTAGGTATTTTACATTCCATTTGACTAATCTTAACAGTAAAGGAGACCGTGACTGGACAAACCATTTTTATAATCTATAATATTGTAATTCATATATTTTGGGAATTAAATATATATTAATAGATTACCTACGATTATATACCATTATTGGGCACTATTAAAATTTATTAGTAAACTATCTTTTTTTAAAAATTTTATTTTATGTGAAAGTTTTGATTTTTTCCAACAAGCCCCAACCATAGATTATTTAAATCATCTTATGGGGCTTCCAAATGACAAAAGGATTATTTTTATTTCTTAGGATTAATATTTATTGAATAATTATAATATTTTATTATTTGTATCTACTATAAAATAAAGTTTAGCCAAAATCAAAATATACATAAAAATTGAAATATAATTTTATATTAGGACGTATAAAAACTTGATTCTTTCCATTTTCAATAATATCTCATAATTGATACGAGTATAATTGACAAAATAACCAAAGAAAAAATATAAATTAAAATTATATTTTATAATGATAGCTCAAAGTACCCTGGGTTAGCCACCACTACTAGCACTACTTTATTAATCATAATTAAAATAATAAATAATATCTTTCTAAACTTTTTCAAATTACAAAATAAGGTTCACATTTTGCTATAAAAGTTAAATTATATATTTTAAACAACTAAAATAAAATTTAAATATCTTACTAGTGTTTATATTTAAAACTGGTTTGATTCGCCCCAGTTTAACTAACTCCTGACTACCCTAGTTATTAGATTTAAACAATGTTCCCTAACCATATCAAGTTTCCTAACAACTTAATTAATGTAATTTTGATTAAGAAAATAAAATTTAATTTAAATTCGATTTTTCAAATTACAAAATAAGGTTCATATTTTGCTATAAAAGTTAAATTATATATTTTAAACAACTAAAATAAAATTTAAATATCTTACTAGTGTTTATATTTAAAACTGGTTTGATTCGCCCCAGTTTAACTAACTCCTGACTACCCTAGTTATTAGATTTAAACAATGTTCCCTAACCATATCAAGTTTCTTAACAACTTAATTAATATAATTTTGATTAAGAAAATAAAATTTAATTTTAAATTCGATTTATAAATCATAACAGGTGTCAGACATCCCTGCTCCTTAACTTCCATAATAAATGTTTAATTACTTTTTAATTAAATATATAATAGATTCATTTTATTCCAAAAATTTAAACATAATATGACCCAAAACCTCCAAGTGAATAATCAGTGAGTTTAATTAATATACATAGAGATTTAATCCCTAATGCAAAACAACTTTTTGAAAAATTGGTTTGCAAAGATGATTAAATTTTCATTTATGAACGATATTTTGATTAACTTTTTAAATCATCTTATAATGTTTAATATATTTTATTCGATTTACCGGTGTAGTATTGTAATATCAATACCATCTAAAATCAATACGGTATTGATTCTATAATTTTGTAAATTCAATATCATCTAAAATCATTATGGTATTGATTCTATAATTTTGTAAAATCAATACCATATTGATATATGACCGAACCCACCTTTCACGAATAAAATCTAAAATATAATTTACAAATCTTTGAATCGATATTTATAGATGAATCGACAATTATAGATAGCACATAATAAAAATAGAAAATCATTTTTATAATCATTTAAATATATTTAAAAATATTAAATCTATTAAAAAAATTTCATAAATCGAAATGGTCACCAATATTTTGAAAAATTATATAATAAATTTTTACAATATTAATGGCCACCAATATATTTGAAACGATGAAAAAATATATAATGAATAAATATTTTACAATTTTAATGGCCGCCAATATATTTGAAGCTATGGAAACAACTCTTAAAAATCAATACGGTATTAATTCTACAATACCAAAAACTACGGTATTGATTCTACAATGATAATATCAATACGGGATAGAAGCTATAATGGGTATTGATTTCACAATCATAGACCGGTCTATAAAGCAATAATAATGAACAATATTATACTCGCTCTTAAATATTTTGTATTTTGCAATATTTTAATATTTGTATTCGAAATTGTCATATTTTCAGGGATGCGAACCTTGCAAAATTTTAGCCCCGGGTTCGGTTTGGGTTCGGTTTAAGTAAAAAATAAAAGGTGGGTTCGGTTCGGGTTCGGGTTCGGTTTATGGAAATATTTTTGAACCCGAGTTTGGTTCCGGGTTCAGCTCGGGTTTAAGAATTTTCGAATTGATATTAAAAAACCAGACATAAATTTGTTATAAAAATAAATTTTTTATTTTATTTATAGGCAAAATACATTTAAAAATACAAAACAGTCATAAACCTTGAAATAAAAGAGTTAAAGAGGATAAATTTTAAATAGCAATGATTTCATAGAATTAAAAAACAGTTATATAAATTTAATTTCAATTATAATATACACTTCATTAATATATATTAAAAATTAATCTGAACAAAAAATAAATCAATATAATAATTTTTACTTTGACTTGTTCATTCCATTAATTAGTAATCTTTGAGACTTAAAAATTAAAAATAAATGGCGTGAATGTATTTAATTGCTTTAAATTTATGTAACACTCCAATAGGAATCTTTTAAGATAAATTTTTAAAAAAAATAAAAAATGGCATAAATGAATTAAGTTGTTTAAAATTTATTATCATTTCACTTAAAAGGTATTATGATAATTTTTAAAATCTCAATTAAATTATTAATATTTGTATTTACAATTATACAAATATCTTAATATATGATTTTAAAAAATGCACTGAACCCGCTTGAACCCGGGTTCATAAAAATTCCTGGGTTCGGTTCGGGGTTGTAAAAATTTTATAAATGGGGTTAAGGTTCGGTTCGGGTTCAGATTTTTTTATCAAAAACCCTGGTTTACTCCTCCGGGTTCAGGTTCGGTTCAAATCCCTGTATTTTAAAATAAAATTAGTTCTAATAATTTGATATGATGATTAGTTCTAATAAATTTTTAATGTTCCAGAAAAATCATTCATTATAAAAAAAAATTATCTCCTTCCCCCCTTCCCCATAGAAAATATCTGATTAAGCACCTGATCGTAATAGATATCTTACGTAGAAAATTTAGTTGAAAGCCAGTCGTTTAAAGCTATTTTCAAATGTAGTGAGTTACCTAAAGCTACTTTTAAAAAAAGGAGTAGCGCGTTAATAGATACTAGTAATTAAAAAATTACCTTTAGGCAACTTTAAATAAAAATTATGTAAATATTATTGGGAAAAACACAAAAAAACTAAATTATATTTTTAAAACTACTGAATAAATATATTAAAAATATAAAATATATATTTATCTGAAATTTTTGGAAAAGGAAATAAACACTCTTAACATTATTATCAATTACAAAATCACCTTCTTTTAGTATAATGTTTTTAATTATTTTTGATCAGATGGTCGATTATAATTTTAACTCGAGCATATGGTATTTTATAGTGGCTCAAAAAACCTGTCGTCTTGAAACTTTACTCGTTTTTTTCTCAATTATCTATAATTTGATCGAGTCGTAATTTAGAAAAATTGAGATAAAATGTGCTAAAATTTAAATAACTCAGATCTCTTAAATTCTTTTCCCCCAAAAAGGGTTAGATGTCTCATTGTTGGATGCTAACCTTTTCCAATATCCATAATTATAAATAGATGGCAATCTCTGATCAAAGGCTAACTTGATCTTTCTTAAGAAATTATGGGTCACATTCACTAATTATCTTCCAAGTCCAAAAGGTCATAGCCTATTTTTAACAAAAGTCTTATTCGTTCATTGGATTTAGATGAGGAGAGTTAGTGGAAGATTGAGCAGATTTTATAAATCCTGTGTAATTAACATAACAGAAAAATCATATTTATTCGGGCAACAATTATGGTAAAAGTGTTTCCTGGTGATTGATAAAAACATAAATTTATTATTATTCTTATGCGCATTAAAATAACATAATTTTCTCAATAAAAGATCTCCTTTTTATAGCATCATTTAATTTATATAGTATATTAAAAATGTAAACAAGAATATGTAAAAAATATTAATTAACATATTCCTTAATTCAAAATTTCATTTTACCTGCGATAAATCGACTAATAAGAGCAAGATTGACAATATCAAAATCATCTTAGTTTAAGATCAAAATTTCCAACGAATGATAATTTATAAAATCAAAAATTATAAAGACAAATGTTAATTATATTTATTGAGCTTGTGGTACAAACATGATCTTGAAATTTATATTTATACTATATATATATAATATTGATTTAAAAAAAATGATATCCAATATTTTTTATCAATTTATTTAACACGAATAATATATGACAAGTGTGATATTATAATTTTAAATATAAACTTGGCTAATATCAAATAGTTAATTATCAACTTTCGAAATTCTAATCATATTTAGATAATAATGGTAAATAGAATCAAAAAAATTGAAAAATTTATTTGGATGCATTATAATAATGAATATATATTATATCACATAAATTTAGTATTTTACATTACATTAACATCATATTAAATTTAAAGTATAAGTTACATATTATTGATGTATATTTCATTATAAACTGAAATTTAAATAATATTTGATTTTGAATATGTTTTTTTTATGTTTTATTGCCCCTAACTAAGGCGACCAAAACATCTTGAAATTTTCCGTGAACATCTCCCTAAAACAAGAAGAAAAAAATTAACAAAGGTATTTAGAAGTTACTCTTATAGCTTTTTCCAAGTCTTTTCCGTATTTTTGATGATACACACTTCTTATTTTATCTAAATCCACTTCAGATCGTGTCGTTAAAACTCTGATTAATTCATCTTCACTGGTGCCCATACCCTTTCCATAAAAATTTAAAAAAATTTATTTATAAAAATTGTAAATATATATATATCGATGGGTTAATATAGATTACCTTGAGGGAGTGTCTCAACCTTTCAGCAAAATATCCAGCAGGATCTTTTATGCACTGCACTATTATTTTTTTTTTAAATTAAATAAATTTTCAAATGTTAGGGGAAAATAAAAGTGATTATTTAAACTTATAGTTAGTAGAGTTTTTTGAGGCTTTCCTGAAATTTCCTTTTTTATGGTATCCTCTATGGGCCTCTGAGATACCTGTTTGTATTCTTCAAATATTTGTCTCAATTGGTCGTAATTTCTTTGGCTTACGATTTCATTCAATACCGGTAAATTAGTCCCCACATTTCTGCCTCCAACTTTGAATAGTGCCTGTAATGTTATGAAAAGTTCTAGTTCAGAAATGTTAACCGATGAAAAATAAATAAATTATCATAAAAATTAGATATAGCGCCTGATTTAGATTATACTCAGAAATTCAATTTAAATCATATTACTGTATAATTCAGTTTCATTAATATTCTAATTGCATTCTTTATTAATTTTCTCATATATAATCTGAACATTAAGGGTTTTATATAAAATGTTAAAAGAGGTCCATTCGAATAAAATATGCTTATAAAATCAAGTATATTTAAATCACCTCGGCATCATTTTTGGCTTGTATACGATCTACAGTATTGGAATCATCCCTAGTTCCCTTGTGTATGAAGTATATTTTTTATTTAGAAAATAAATTTTGACAAAAGGGATATTGATAATTATTACTATAATAAAGTATCTTCACAAAAATATATACTTTGCTAAGTTGAACTAAAAGATCTCGAACATCAGGGCTCACAGCTTTGGTTATATCTTGAGTTAGATCTTTTTTGTATACTAAAAATTTGAAGTGATATAATTGAATAATGTATTGATAGAAAATTAATCTACGTTGTTGATAAGCGGCCTTCATTCCCTGAATTTGCCTGGGTGTTCTAGTTAATAATATCTCTACCAAGAGATTCAAATCCAATCCATAACCCATGCCAAAACCCTATAAGTTTAAAAAATAGAAAAAAACGAAGGTATCAAATATATACCTTTAGTGCTTTATTCGCTAGCTGAGCATCGAATTCTGCAGCGGGTGTCATAAGGGCCACTAAAATGTCTTCGTATTTACCACTGGTATCACTTTTTATATGGGCCAGAAGGTTCTTTTACATTTATTACAATCATAGTATCAATATATAGTTTAAATAATTTTTATTTTTACATAATAAAAATGATTTAAAATTAAGTAATCATACTCTTTTAGCCACATTTTGATATTCCTGAGCTATCTTTTGTCTTTCAAAGTTAGTCCTACCAGCTATAATACGAGTAACAGTCTTATCGTCGGTTCCTTTTTTATAAATAATTTAGAATATGATATTAGTTCATAATTGAATCATATATTAACTTACCGATTCTTTTCAAAGCTTTTTTCAATGTTTCAGCATCACCTCTCGCGTTAAAGTTTGGTTGCGGATTAATAGTCCCCGAACTCTTTATATTTTAAGAACACCAATTATTTAAAAAATTTGTTATCATATAACACATCATAGAAATACATGTTATTAGTAAAATTTTAAGAATGATGATATACTAAATAATCGCCACTCTATATATATCTTTAAAAAAAACGAAGAAAATAATTAATGCTTACTTACCACGATAAGGCATAAATTTGAGAATATTAACACGTTCACTATCAAGATAAGAAACATTTTTTATATTGTAACGTGATATTGCTAAGATTTAACAGATTAAAAATATTTAAAACTTTAATAATTGTATTTTTTTAAAAAATTAAAATTAAAAATGACCAATTAAGTAAGTTCTTTTAAATGTGAGGAACAGTCTAAGATTATTATTTTTAAAGTATTTTTATTTTGTATAAGATTTTTTGAAAAAAAGATTCCTTTTTAACCTTCAAGAAAATAATGTTATTTTTGTGTCAAAAAAAGCATATGTGGCGATATATGTCAAATCTTAAAATTTGGTTTTGGAACGGGGTATTTTTTTTATCGTTCTTTTAGTTTTTCTAAAAAAAGGGAATATAATTAATAATTATTAAGTAATTTACCGCTATTACTATTATATGCATAATTTTTTATAGCAACAAGCTTAACTATCTATATATTTTTAAATTGTAAGAATTTTAATGAAATAGATATATAACAAAATAGACCAAAACTATTTCACAGAGTAGGGTTTTTTGTTGTTAATTAACTAAATCGTCAAATTTAGAGGATGTTATAAAAATCTTTCAAATTTTATTATTCGAAGTAGGGTTAGATTTTTATTATTAAATCTTCCAAATGAGTGCTGATTTGACTCGATTCAGATTAAGATTATTCTGCTGGTGAAATTCAATATTGTTTTCAAAACTTTTCATCTTTTTTTAACTTTAATATTTTTTTTTCTAAAATATAATATAACTTTAGAAATATTTAAAAACAAAGGAACAACAACAAAAAATATACACCGAGAATGCTGACATAATTCTATCGGCAGACCTCCATAGATATGTGTTGCCTAATAAACTCTTTATTTGGGTCCCGGAGACCGGGAATATCCTGAGGTAGGTATCTTCTCAAAATATTTAAAAACTAATAAACTTTGAGATTTAAAAATATGTCAAACATGTATTTTAATAAGGTGCTTAAGTAGAGCTAAAAAGTTTGGGACAAAATTGCTCATGAAAAATTTCAGAAGCAAATTTAAATTTTAACATACCTAAAGTAACTTTTTAAATTTTTACATTTTCACTAATAACTTTTTTATAAACGTTGTTTGGACTTAATATTAAATGATAAATATTTTATCATATATAAAAATATTGACACAATTTATGGTCTTTTAGTAAATTTTGATGCACTCTATCTTAAAATTATAATTTAATTAATTGTGAAGACCTGGGGCAGGTTTTGGCGGGGTCGTATTAGCCATTTTCAAGCAGGGATTATTTTGAATAAAAAAAAATGCAACTAAATTTATAAAAACATTAGAAGCATATGAAGATGTTTTACTTATTTCTTGTAATTATATGACAGATTTGATTTATATGGCAGCAAGTATACGGGTGATATAAATCCCTAATAAATTTAACATATTTGACAATTTATTTTTATTTATTTACTTAGAATCAATACTTTTATATAAATATTTTTTTAAATTTAAAAATAAAGAAGCGCTATGACATGTAACGTGAAAGGATAATAGGTACCCCAGGTATTTTTCATAAAATACAAATTTTCATTTTTTTAAATTTCTCATTTTAAAACTAAATGATTTTTTTCTTAAATATTAATTTCTAACGTAGAAATATATGCAAAAAATAAAAATACGTTTTAACATTTTAGAAAAAATGCTTTGTCTATTTTTTATACTTCAATTTTTTATGGGCAATATAACCCCGGTCTTTCCTAATAAGTTCTTAAAAGTATCATAATTTATATCGAGAAACTTTTGTAATTTTTAATTGCATCTACTTTATTTTCATACTGGTGTAGTTTGTGCTATATATGTGATGCCTTAAATATACCCCCTCCCCCTTATTTTTTCGATACAAGATTTTAACATGGTAATTAATACTTGTAGCAATGATTGTGTATGTTTATGGTCTGTGTGTTCTGTAATAATAACATCATCCTACATTTGCTATGTCTTTTAATAATTTCTTCATACACTGGAGATTTGGCACTTATATAAATTAGTCTACGATATAGAATGTATACGTATGCCATAATAAAATATTCTCTAAACCGTTTGCTAATTTATTAGATATGTCTTCAACCGAAATCTTCGCAAACTCAGACTCTACTGTCTTTGATACGCTTACGGATAAGGAGCCCATTCAATCGGAGTGATCATGACAACAGCTTCCAGTACTTAATCCTTTGATAACAAATATATTTCCTGTTCCACTAGTATTTATAAAAGAAAAGACAGTACTATTGATAGGAAGGAGTTGTAATTTTTTAAAGTATACTAGGGGAGACCAGAGCTAGTCGGTGCAATTTTTGTCAAAATCATCATAGCTTCGAAAATAATGATCATATAAGATCTTACAAAATACCAATAGATACCTTAAACATCTACCTATAAATATATACTGTGATATTTTTTAAATATTTAATAATTATTTCTCTAGAAAGGTTTTAGTAAAAGTCATTTTTTGAACCTAGTAGCCCCGAACCCGTGGCTAGTCGGATCATCGATGGGGCTAGTCAAATCAAGTGGTTTATTAGGTTTCTTATGGGACAAAAAAATTTTTTTTCAGATTTTAATATATAACTATGATACTTTATTTATATAATATTCTATTTACAATTATAACAAATAAAATAACAATCTTTTTTGACAGAGAACCACTCTACATTGAAACCAATCTTCAAAATTATGAAAACTTTTATAATCCTGTTTACATATAATACACACATCTTTTATTAATTTTTTATTAATGTTTATTTTTTATTAATAATAAATTTACTCAAAATTTATCTAATTCTATATTTAAATATATAACATCATTTGATTTTGTTATCTGGCTAAATATAATCTGATAACTAAAATGTTCATGTCCAATAAAATGAATTAATTTTAATCATATTATATTGTCACAGGCGCGTAACCAATGGGAGGGAAAGGGGGAAATTCCCCCCCCCATCGCAAATTTGACTATTTTCATAAATATCATTTTAAGCTAATAAAAATTTTACCCCCACCCCCCAGACCCACACCCCCCCCCCCCCCACCAATCAAAATTTTACAAATATTTGAATATCAATTTTCCAACATATTATTCAAAAATATTAATAAAATGTAAAAATATTTAGTCAAAGAGATTGAAATCAAACGATAATTTATAAATAAGGCTGAGCATGAAAAAAAGTAATGTGTCGTTAGCAGCGATATCATTATTGAATTCAATTGATCAATCAGAGTTTATCAGTGCTGCTAGTTGCATCAATAAATTATTTTTAGCTCACTACTTTGTAGAAATTTACAAAAACCAAATTTAGATTTGGTTCAAGTTATTGATTTGGCGGAAAATATACATGAACAGGTAGATACAATAAGAATGAATGTAGATAAATATTTTCATAATATTTATCTAGACGTTGAATCGAAGGCTAAATTTTATGATATAATACTAATTAAACCTCGTCTAGCACCTAGGCCATTATTGAGATGAAAATAAATATTGGCTCAACTGAAGAATATTATAAAATATCCATTTTCATCCCATTCTTAGATACTTTTTTATAGCAAATAAAAGTACGGGTTTTAGATAAAAAACAAGTCTTTAGCAATCTTCAAGTTTTATTACCCAAAGATCCTTCTTCATTTTCTAATGCCACTATTGGTAAAATTAAATATTTAGAAAAATTTTATTCCTATGAGATTGATACTGAAATAAATTTAATCAGTGAATTCGAATTGTGGTATAAATATTTATACGTTTAGCTATTTTACCTGAGCATGCTATTGATGCGCTCAATCGGTGTAAAGAAACCTTGGCTCAATTTCCTAATATTTCGAAGTTGTTTTATATTCTTGCATGTTTGCCTATTACAACATGTACGAATGAAAGGACTTTTTCCAACTTGAGAAGGTTGAAAACATATTTACGAAGTACTGAATCTTGGCTAAATGGGTTAGCTCTGTTAAATATACACAGAGATTTGGTTCCAAAGACAAACTAAATAATTAAAAATCTTGTATTTGATAAGAAGTTAAAAAAAACTTGTTAATTTAATTATTTTCTAGTCAATATTTTAAACTACTATTAGTATTTTCAATAAAAAAAATTATATTCTACTTATATTGTACGAGAATTTAAGCTGAAGCTAGTTTTTAAAGCAAATTTTATAAAAAAAATGACATTACACTTTATTTCAACTTTACATATAAATAAACCTTTACATTTAAAAAAACTTCATTAAATATAATATACCTAACTTGAAATAATAAAAAAGAGGCTTGTAATATCCTATCCATAAGCACGAATTAGTAAATAATAGTTAAAAATAGAAATATAATTATTATTAAATTATTCATAATTTAATAGAATAGCTAAATAAGACCCGGCCTAAAAGGGGTTTGGGGGCGAAGCCCCCAAAAAAAATTTCCCCCCTATAAGAAAATCCTGGATACGCCACTGTATTGTCAATTAAAATAGATATATATAAATATTTGTATGTTAGATATAATTCATTTTAAATACATTGATATTATTATCAGGTTAAAATTTATAAGCTAAAATGTTCATATCCAATAAAATGTTTAATTTGAATCATATTATATTGTCAATTAAAAAATATGTATATGAAGATTTTAGTTTGCAAGATATTTATTTAGGTCTGATATTATATTAAAATTGAAATGTATTATGAAAAATCAATCACATTAATAAATTTATATAAAATTATTATTTAATATATTACATTTATAAAATATAATATTTTTTTTTTCTCTTTAGCTTTCACCTTTTCTGGTGGTAAGCTCCTTTAACATCTCTCTCCACTTTATGTTATTCATACAATCTCTTTTATCTAATTTATACTTCTTAACTTTATTTCCTATTTAGTTCACAGGCCTTCTCATTGTGTGCCCATACCACCTACGTCTGTTTACCATTAACTTAGTCTTAATGGGCACTACCTTTAAAATATTTAATATTCTTGTACTGCGCACTTTATCCTTTCTTGTTACCCCAGCAATCATCCTCAGCATTCTCATCTCCATAGTTTGTAGACTTCTCTCGTCTGATTCTTTGGTTGGCCATGTTTCCGAACTATATAGAATAGTTGGTTGTACTATGGAACTGTAAATTTTTCCCTTTAATTTGTGTGGGATTCTTTTGTCAAATAGCACTCCAGATAAAGATCTCCACTTTAACCACCCTTGATTAATCTTACTCTTTATCTCTTTTTCTATTGTGCCGTTTGTTTGTATAGTGGAGCCCAAATATTTGCAGCTTTCAATTGCCGATATCTGCCATTCATTTATTTCAATACTCTCTGTTTGATCTCCTCCTATCACCATATACTCCGTCTTTTCCCTATTTACTTTTAATCCGTGCGTTTCTAGGATATTTATCCAACTCACTAATCTTTCTTTCATTTTATCCTTAGATTAGGCAAGCATCACAATATCATCTGCTGCAAATATTATATTCCACGGAACTGTTTGCGTTATAGACTGTGATAATAATCTATTACTGTTATGAAGAGATGTGGGCTGAGAGCCGACCCTTGATGAACTCCTTCGGCTATTGTAAAGCCTGCTGAAGTACCTGTTGTGCTACGGACCATTGTTGTATGGCCCATATACATATCCTGTATTATTCTTAGATATTTTTCGGGAACCTTTTTGTGGCGTAGCGCCCACCAGATAAGTTTTCTTAGGATTCTATCGAAGGCCTTTTCTAGATCGAGAAAGACCATGTGTAGCATTTTGTTCTTTTCCCTGTATTTTTCGCTCATTTGCCTAATTGCGTGGATAGCATCGGTTGTTGATCTTCCAGGCATAAAGCCAAACTGAGTTTCTCCTATTTCTATTATATCCCTTAATCTTTTTTCTATTATTTTTTTGTATAGTTTTAAACAGTGTGACATTAGTTATGCCCCCGTAATTTTGACAATTGTGTATCCTCTTTATTTTTGAAGCTAGGAACTAGATAGCTCTGCCTCTATTTTTGGGGAACCTCTTCATTTCCAACTATTTTATTGTACAGATTCATGAGGAGATGTATTCCATCATCTCCTAGTGCTTTAAGGCTTTCTATTGGAATATCATTTGGACCCCTAGCTTTGTTTTTCATATGCTTGAGGCATGTGATTCTTTCTATTGGAATATCATCTGGACCCCTGCTTTGTTGTTTTTCATATGCTTGAGGCATGTGATTATTTCTTGTTCTGTTATAGGTTGTACAAGGTTTTGACATGGGGAGTGTTGATCTAGATGTAGTATGTGGTGATTAAAGTTGAGAAGCTCCTGAAAATATTCTTTCCATCTATTCATTTTTTTTCCTTTATTATCAATTTCCCATCGTTATTTTTGATTACTTTCGGAGCTCCGTTTATATCCCTAGAGTTCTTTTTGTTTGGCTAATCTGTATATTTTATTTTGCCCTTCTTTGGTATGTAGATCTTCGTACATGTCATCGTATGCCATAGATTTGGCCCTAGCCACCGCCTTTGTAGCTATTATCTTGGATTTTTTGTAATTTATTTTGTCATCTGGGTTTTTGGATTTGTACCATAGGGCTTTTTTCTCCTTTATAGTGGTTTGTAATAAAATATAATATTTTATCCATTTAATAAATGGTATTTTTCTTAATGAGATATCATTTTCATACAGTTTTATAGTTTCTTCATAATATTTTTTTAGTAAAAATTTTACTATATTGAAGTTTGCATATATATTTGGGTGCCATAATAATATAATAAAAATTGACTGATTGCGCCGACTAACCACGATTCTACTAACCTCACTGGTGGTAATATTACTAATTTGATCTTAACATATATTTAAGCATTATATATCAATCTGAATCTTTCCCAAATATTAAAATAGATATATAAATTTCATATAATGTTCATTTTGTCATGTTTAAACTTTTAATTTTTTAATACAACCTAATAATATTAAGTAAAAATATTGTAATTTTTACGTCAAAAACCTCTCATAACTGATAAAAATTTAAATAGCTAAATATTATAAATTATTTTCTTCCCCAATTATGGATATTATAGAATTCTATTTTAGAACTAAATTTCAATTTTTATTGGTTTTAAAATAAAATCCTTTGAACCGACAAGCCCCTTACGCCGACTAGCCCTGGTCTCCCCTATTGCATTATTTATCCAATTTAATTTTTTGAGTCTGTTAATTTTATTTTCCCTCCATACTATTTATTGCATTTAAATAATTTATTACCTTGTTTGATAGTTTTAAATTAATTATATAATCGAGAATCACATTTACCAAAATGTAATATGTCACCTATGAGATCCAGCCAAAGGTAGGGTAAAAAATAGGGTGAGGGTTGTATATGAGGCGCCGCCCTCCATGTAAAAATCAATTAAAAAAATTCCTACATAACAAAATAGTTTTAATTGGCAACCCTTAATATTCATGAGAAATACTAATGTTTATAATAATTTCATAATTTTAAACTATTTATTTTTCTAAATTATATATATATGATTAATTAAATGCCCGTTTCTCCTTTTTTTTTATAAAAGGGCACAATAATATGTATTTCAAGTTTATTTTTAATTAACTTCAATACTAACCATACTAAACAACATTATGAATATATTTCTTTGCTTAAATTCGAACAATCTATTTGTGTATTTCATATATACAAATAATTTAAACAGATAAAGATATACAGTTGTTTATTTTATACAATTCGCGATTTTAATATTACATTATAATATATTATACTTATAAATAGTCTATAAAAAATGCTATAAATCATTTTCAAACAAATTTTGTATTTCGGTGGAATAAATGACCATTAGCTTTTAACTATATATAAATATAAAAGACATATATAATTTAAATTAAATATGTAATTCATTAAATAAAATTTGCATTAAGATTAATGTTAAAATAATAGTAGATGTTTCTTATATTATTTATATAAATATATCCAAGAGAAATTATAATATAACAGATCATAATATTAACCTGAACATTAGTTCAACACAGACAGAGTTTCTAGTTGAATATAAAAACTTGATAAATTTTTTAATAAATTCTGTAAAATATAAATAAATATACCAATTTGTTTAATATTATTTTACTTTTAATTGTATCATATTCATAGTTTAATGCTAGGCATCGAATAGTCTATATTAATCTGTTTCGCTAAAACATTATTAAAAAGATTATATATTGAAAAAAAATACTTTTTACGCATTAATATTAATATAGTTGGCATTTTCATTATTATTTAATTTTTATCAATAATACAATAATTAAGAAAGATATCACAAATAAGTCTAGTGTTTCGTTTTTTAAATATGAATTATTTTTAATTTAGCTATTTTAATCATACCCTCCACCCAGTTCGAAACAAAAGTAGAGAATTTTATAGTAACCCCCCCCCCCCCCTATATAAAAATTTTCGAATATTTAATGTTATTAATTATATCATATTTATTTTATATTTGATGTTACATTGGATCTAATAATCTAAAATAATTTTTGTAAGCTAAGTAAGTAATAAATTATCTATATATCGTAGAGTTCAGCGAATCTTCGTTTATAGTAAATCCCGTGGAAAAAAAATGCGGAATAAAAAAATATGCGAAAGAAGTAAAAAAAACGACTGATGTTTGCACCTTTATTCTCTCGAGTAATATAAGCTAATTGGAGAAAATTTTATTTTCAACCTAACTACAATATTTATAACATTTATGCACAGAATTGAAGGAGGTGGGTTGTACGACTTAAGATACTATTTTAAACAAAAAATGATTAGTCTATAATTAATAAATATGCTAATGCCTTGCAGAAGTAATCAGCTCATAAAGTTGTCTTAAATTAACATTTCGATATTCACTATTTTTATTTACAATCACGACATTGATATTAAATAAATTGTTAGAATTTTATAGTTTGGAATATGAGTTTTTGACTATTTTTAAAATTTTCCCACAAATTTAAAAATGAAAAGGTTGAACCCCGTCAAAGTATAATGACTAGGGACCACCTTGTAATCAATTGCAAAAATTGATAGAATAATGATGAAAATGCCAAATATTTAATCACAAAATAACCATGAAGATAATTTTAATAAATATTACATTTAATTTGTTCATTCCTAAATAAAAGACATGACATTTAAATAAATTTTTTTTAGAGTTTTGTTAGTTAGAATACATATAAATAATCATAGACACGTGTATGCTAAGAAATTTAAATGTTAAAATTTGTATTTTTTTACTTTTTTGATTAGATGTTATAGTTTCATGATTATTGATAATCAAATTTGACGTTTTAGATATATCACCATTAAAATAACACGCATTTTTCCTTGGACAATTTATAGAATTTAGACGACATTTCTTGTCTTTTATTATAAAGTTATCGCTCTTTTGACTGAGAAATTTTTAAATATATAGTAGATAAAAAAAAATAGTTCCTATTCAAGAAATTATACCATTATTACTAGAAACATACTTCTTATATCTTTTCAAAGGATTTATAAAATGCCACATACACACACATACAGTCAAAATCATGTTTAGAATTAGAATACAGATTACAAACTAGACATATAAGTCTTAGAATGATAATCAACAAAACTTTTTTCTGTGGTTTGTAACATGCGTAAGTTGCTACTGCTAGTAATGCTGAGTATCATTTATTAGTTATTTATATAGGATCATGCTAGCAAAAATTAATTCAAGAATTATCCAGAAAGCCTTTGATAAAAACATTTATTATAAGTATATGTGACAAATAAGTATATCGTATTACATAATATTTACATACAATTTCAGTTACATATAAACAGCACGCAAATAAAATTATTTTGAAAAGATAGTTTATAAATATGCAAAACAGAAATTTGAATGAAATAGAAATATATATTAAAATATTTAAAAAATATTGTCATTTGAATGTTAGTTTGATTTAGGAGTAATTTTGAAATTGCATACATTGATTTTGATAGTTTATATAATTCTTATGAGTTACATAATATATACCACCCTGGGGAGAAATTTATATAATTAAATAGGTAATTGTATTGACTAGACATTATACAATATTATATCTTACATCCTATATTCTATTCTGCCCTCAACTCTACCCTACTCTTATTTCCTATAAAAAGAAAACCCATAAGTTACCCATTTACTTTATATTAAACATCGTGAAGGAGTTAATTTTTTATTGTGGGTTGGAAACTGTGACGCCAAATTTATTTTGATAGGCAGGTGCAATCAGGCTTGGGATAGAAATATAATCCTATAAATGCCAAAAGTGTAAGGCACAAGTTGATCAAAATTCAAGATATTCTTCCCACTGTCTTTTAAATGGCTGCAAATACATGAGGTGTGAAATAATTAATAAAATTATTTAGATAGCACTATATGGAGTTATTATTATAACTAATGTTTTTAAAAAGTCCAATTTGGGTCGATTTTTTAAAACAGGCCTATTAAGGTTTTGGCTAATATAATATTACTAGTAGATAGCCCGTCAAAAATGACGGGGAAAGAGAATTTTCTTCTTACTTTTATGATAGTTGTTCTGTAATTTGAAAATAATATCCAATTTTTATTCTTTTTACCCCCTCCCCCTTCAGGCCAGGTTCTCCATTAAAACTAAGGGTAAATACTATGGTTTGAGTAAAAATAAATTTAAAGCTTTTACTTGATAATACCAATATTATTTGTTAAATATTACTGATCACTTATACCTAATATTTAATATTAATAAAAATTCCCAGGCAATACAAAGCCTTAATAAACTTGAAAAATTTTTCCAAGCCCAATGAAGGATCAAGATTTTGGTAGTTGGAACTGAAATAAAATATTTAAATAATCATAATGAATTTAAAAATACAATCAAAATCAGATTTTCATGGGCCTTGGTTTTTGATCAGGCCGAGCCCATGCCTGCAAAAAATTTTGTTTTGGGCCAATGTCTGACCTAAAGTTAAATAAAAAAATTCTCAAGAGTCCAAGCTCATAATAATTTTGAAAAATTTTCCATAAGTCCAGCCCTATATAATTTATAAAAATATTTTCCAAACCCAGCCCAACCCATAATAATTTTCTAAAAAAAAATTTTCAAAATTTTTTCCCAAACCTGGAGATAAGTAAATCTCTAAAACCATATCTATTTTTTATTCTATTTTAACACCCCTACTTCAGACCAAGGCCAACCAATTAAGACTAAGAGTGAATACTATTTTTTTGAGTGAAAATATATTTAAATTAGCTTTTACCTGAGGGCCATATAAATATTTTGTGTTAAATATTACACCTATGCCTAATATTAAAAAAAATTTCCACCAGGTCCACGTACTTGGGAAAATTTTCTTAAACCCGCCAGAGACCATAATAATTTTAGTAGTTGAGAACTGAAATAAAATATATAAAAAGTCACAATGTATTTAAAAATACAATCAGAATATGAAAGCATGGGCCTTGATTTTTAATCAGGCCTGACCATGTCTTCAAAAGAAATTTTCAGACCAATTTCTAGCCCATATTTAAAATTAAAAAAATTTCAGGAATCTAAGACTATATTAAGTTAAAGAATGTTTCCCCAAGCTACGTGCAAGATCATATTAATAGTGAAAAATATTTCCCAAGCCCAGGAAAAACTAGAATAATTTATTTTTTCCTTGGATCCAGAAAAATAGATCTGATGTAAGGTGCTAATAAGAATTAAATCTGTCTAATGTGTATAAATTCTTTTTGACATTTTATATTGGGAAAATTTTTCAAAATTATCATCAAATGAATATCTGATTTACCCATCATTCTACTAGTAGCTCCTGGTATTTATATGAAATTCATGAATACATATTAAAGTAACATGCTGAAAATATGTTCATCCTAATTTAAATTTTAAACAAACAATTTATTAAAATATATCATAGGATTCATTGAAAAATATAACTGATTATTATTATTCCTTCAAATATTATATTAACTTTCAGTAAACAACAGTCTTAATTTATATTTTGTAACTAAGTAATAAATCATTTGGAAGGCACATAAATAAAAATTACTAAATATATACTTCATTAACATATTTTATAATATAATGGAAAATTTTAGAATAACCTCAAATAAGTATAAATTTTTAAATAACACTTAAGATAGGAAAATTTCTGATTCATCCCTCATCAAATAAAGGAGAAAATTTTGATTCCCCAATATAATGGTATAAAATTTTAAATTATACATAAATTCAAGAATTAAAATAGTATTTAAATAAATCTCTTATTCTTGAATTAGTACTTGATGCATTTAAAGTTCTACTGATCCCTAAATATTCAGGAATAGGTATAATATTAGTGTGTATTCAGTGCATTTAATTATCTTTTACAGGAATCTAATTGGAATTTTTTAAAAGAATTTTAAAAATATAAGAAATACCTTTTTATTTAATTTTAAAGTAATTACAAACGTTGAATCGTATCTTCTATTTGATTTATTTTGCCAGATTAAAAAAAATCTTTGCTGCGATTCGAACCTAAGTCGATCATATTTGTAAGCGACGCTCTTGCCGAAAGATTTTTTAAATATATATATATATATTGTGAAAGTGTGACTGTCACAGTGTGACAAGGCTTTTATATATATTATAGATGTAAGCATCGAGATTTGGAAAATATATGTCCAAGCATTTTTGTCAGCTATGAGCAAAATCTTTGGTTTTACATAATGTTATTTTAGTTATAATCTTAATCGGGCCGTTTTTTATAAACAACTCGTATCGGGCTTTTTAACAACATTAATTGTAACATATGTCTCTTCAATTATATAATACTGGACCGGATGGCTATACATTGAATGAGACAAAGACAAACATGCATTGAGACTCTATCTATATTGACACATTTTCCCCTCTCATAGTTACGATCGACTTGGAATTTCTAAGAGAAAGAAAAGTCTTAAGCATTACCACATATCTGTTAATAACATATTCACCATATTAGTTGTATTTAACCTCATATTCTATTAAGAAAAGAGGCTAAATCTGGTGTCAAACTTAAAAAGAACTTTAAACCCACAATTTCAAAAGCATTTGAATTAAAAAAAATTATGAAGTAATCCGTTTTAATCTTAAATTATTTAAAGATTTATGGCCATAGCTATATGATGACGAAAACTTATAATGATAATTTTTTTTATATATTTGAAACAAATAAATCTATTTTAAAAAGATATATTATAGGGGTATCATTTTCCGTCTAATTTTAAATGGCCTGTTGGATTCAAATTGAACTTGAACGAAAATGTTAAACCAAGAATAATCTGAATATTCGAAAAGTTATACCAGGAATGCCGTAATAATTATTTACCGAACCGCACCTAAACCGCTGAAAAAATACTCCAACTTGAATCTAATTTCTGAAAAATCCTTGTAAACCGATTGAACTTTTTGATATACTAACTGGTTTTTAATTCATATATATAATAAATACTGTTTATTTGTCATAATTTATAGATATATATGTATGGGGTATACTAATAAAATAAACGGTAGTTACTTTCTGTATGGATCTTAGTAATAATATTTAAAAAATGAACTTCACAATAAAGAATTCTAAACAGCATGTATGCCAAAGCTTTCAAACACCGCCTTAATAAGGTTCAAACCTTTTGTATTTTCACGATAAATCTGCTATTTTTTTTACTTAATTTTTTTTTTTTTTCTCCTTTTTTTTTGAATCAAACTTTTGAGTTTTTTGATTCGTCCAATCTAAAAATTTCTTCTTCTTTGTATATCATATCTGTCTTAAGATCACTGAGATTTACAATTATAGTCATTTGCCCAAAAAATAAGTTTTCATACTTAAAATAAAGTCAATTATTTTTATTTGTTTTATTTTGTTTAAGCTCTTCTTTGTTCATTTTTTTAAAATAATATTGCTTTCTTTCTTTTTTGTTTGTTTTTTTAATCCCTTCATTTTTAATTTCAAGTTTAGTTTTTTATAATTTTTTTTTCATTTTGAAGATTTTAATTTGGAAATTTATATCCGAGTCCTGAAAATTTTTTTTGTACAAATTGTACGACTCAAAAAATAGTCCAAAAATATTTTTAACAGGTTTCCCCGCTTTACAACATTCATTTATCTAAATTAATTAAAATTCCCTTTAATTTTTTTTTACATCTTCTAAATTGAGGCTTGTTGAATACCTTTATCTAAGGTGTTTAGCCATTTGTCAATGCTTTATTAGCAAAAATAATCTATCGGGCACAAAATTTTTTTATATTGAGGGAATCAAAAGGGGGGGGGGGGATATATGACAAGGATTTTGCATTTTTGCGATATTATTTTTCATGGATTAAAATAATAACATGCCCGAATATTTGTTAACTATTCATCTAGCTACACAATAAAAAAATCCAAGATATCTAGCATTTATAGTTGGAAGCGAATACGAAAATATGTCCCCGAATTTGGACTTACTAGAAGCTCGGCACAAAATTTTTTCTTTTTTTAGCATTGCCGGACTCGATTTTTGACACACATTTCTCATTGTTAATATAAATTTTTTAATGCCCCTATTTTAAAAAAATATTAGGCCTCAACTTAGCCCAATTTATTAAATTTTTAGGACCTATGCCAAGCCCCAATTGATTTGTTGTGGCAAATTCTTTATTCTCCTTTAACCCTATTGACGCCCTGGAGTACATGCAAAATTAAAAATTTAACATTCTTGACCTTTAATATGCCCTTAGTCATTTTATTTTATTTTTAAATATATGCGGATTTATTTCAGTGTTATAGTCCTACAGATTTTTTTTCGCTCCTATTTTATCGCTGAACTAAAATGAAATGGTCAGAAAAAAATCATTAAGCGCTCAGAATAAATACTCAATGTCCAGGAAAAAAATATAGAATGCTTAGAATTTTCTAAATGTTCATATTAAAATCTTAATTACCCAGAAAAAAATAATAATTACTCAAATATAAAACTGAAACTCTCAAATCGCTCAGAAAATATATAAAGCGTTCAAAATATCGTTTTAGATTTGTAGAAAAATATTTGTGAAATTTAGTAAAAAAAATTCTTAGCTAAGTATTTTTTAATTTCTGAGCAATTAAGTAAACATTTGAGCATTTCAGTTTCTATTTTAACGAAATTATAAAGTCATTTTTTTCGCAATTTTAATTTTTAAACTAGTTCTTTTCCTTGATTTATTTTCTCAGTTTTCATTTTCCATAGCATTTTAATCCATAATTTTATTCCGCAGTTTTTTTTAATATCTCCATTACCAGAAAAAAATTATTATTTTTTTATTAATATACATTTTAATTATATGTTGGGAATGGATCAAACTAACACTCAATTGACTATAATTTATAATGGCATATAATTTTATTTGTTTATCATAGGAATAGTAAAGAGGAGGGGGGGGGGGCTCCCTTCAAAATTTGTCTGTTCCCATTGATATAATTTAAAGTTAATAAATTATTCTACTACATTAAATACACTCTACCCCAAAAATTTGTATATCGTATTATAAATAATAAATAATAATTTATAGGAAAAATAAATTAATAAGAAAACCAAAATAATTTTGAAAAATATAACCCTTCAAAAGACCTACAAATAAACGAAACTAAAGCCTTGCAGTAATATACGATGAAAAATCACCTAATGGTTCCACCCCTGCCCATCCCAAGAAGGAAGGATGTTATAATATAACTTGATAACATTTACATATAATATGTGTTTATAAGAGAAAATTAATTATTTACTTTAAGTCAGTTAGCTCGAAGGCTTCTGTAAATTCTGTGATTGATGAAAGCTTTGATGGTTTGGCTTGGACAAAAATCTTTTTCCCGTTTATTTGCACCTGCCAGAGATCATCTTGCAAGATATTGGATAATGAAGAACATTCTTGTGACGATATGTCTGTAATTTTTTTACATTTTCTTTTTTATAATATAGTTATCCAATCTATTGTATTTTATTAAATTTATTGAGAACTTTAACAAGATTGGCATCGAATTTTATAAAGAAATTAAAAAAATATTGTTATATGTAAGAGAGATATTTAGATATGATAAATTTTCTATAATATTAAATAAAATTATATTTTTGGTTTATACTATATATCTCAATATTTTAAAATATCAGTAAAAAGATAAGATTTTATAACTAAACAAACTCTTTCTTGTAAATAACAAAAATGCGAAGGAAAAAAGAAAAAAAAAATTTATTTCAAAAGTATGTAATTAGATTGATCATAAGAGCTTATTTATTTCGAATTTAAAAAACGAATTGCCTTATTGAGGTGCTCGAAGTAACATTTTTCATATTTTTAAGTTACCGAATAGATGATAATGTAATATTTATTGTTTGATAAACCTAGTAAACTATGCACTATATACACCATATAAGCTATTTTTAGGTAGGGAGACTAATAATTTTTATGTTTGATGATTGTCCTCAATATCAATTTAATCTAACTTAAATGATAATAAGATCGAATTATTGAAGAGAGTATCATAATAATACAGCGATGATATATGCCATGTATGTGCCCTGCTTTTATAATTTATTAACGATTTGAATTGTTTTTTCCCAACCTGATGAGAGCTTGGGAGATTCTTTGTCTGTTACTTCCATGCCTAGTTGCGTCATGATTTCGATTAGATTCTTTGTTTTCTTATAAGGTTAAAAAAATGATTTAAATACAATAAATATATATTAAAATTGGTTTGAAATATTATTATATATTGGCTCTAACTTTATGGCTCCATTGAAGTTTGGACCTTATCACTTCATTCTTAACCTTATTTCCTATATAGTTCATATGCCTTCTCATTGTATGCCCATTACCATCTAAGTCTGTTAACCATTATCTTAGTTAATGGGCACTACCTTTAAACTTCCTAGTATTCTTGTACTTCGCACCTTATCCTTTCTTGTTACCCTAGCAATCATCCTAAGCATTTTCATCTCCATAGTTTGTAGACTCTCTCGTCTGATTCTTTGGTTGGCCATGTTTCCGAACTATATAGAATAGTTGGTTGTACTATGGAACTGTAGATTTTTCCCTTTAATTTGTGTGAGATTCTTTTGTCAAATAGCACTCCAGATAAAGATCCCCACTTCAACCACCCTTGATTAATCTTATTCTTTATCTCTTTTTCTATTGTGCCGTTTGTTTGTATAGTGGAGCCCAAATATTTGCAGCTTTTAATTGCGGATATCTGCCAATCATTTATATCAATACTCTCAGTTTCATCTCCTCCTATCACCATATACTCCATCTTTTCTCTATTTACTTTTAGTCCGTGCTTTTCTAGGATATTTATCCAAATCACTAATCTTTCTTTCATTTCATCCTTGGATTAGAAAGTATCACAATATCATCTGCAAATATCATATTCTACGGGACTGCTTGTGGTATAGACTGTGCTAATACATCTATTACTGTTATGCAGAGAAGTGAGCTGAGAGCCGACCCTTGATAAATTCCCTCAGCTATTGTGAAGCCTATTGAAGTACCAGTTGTGCTACGGACCATTGTTGTATGGCCCATATACATATCCTGTATTATTCTTATATATTTTTCGGGAACCTTTTGTGGTGTAGCGCCCACCCCGCCCGATAAGTTTTATTGGGATTCTATCGAAGGCCTTTTCTAGATCGAGAAAGACCATGTGTAGCTTTTTGTTCTTTTCCCTGTATTTTTCACTCATTTGCTTAATTGCGTGGATAGCATCAATTGTTGATCTTCCAGGCATAAAGCCAAACTGAGTTTCTCCTATTTCGATTATATCTCTTAATCTTTTTCTATTCTTTTTTCGTATAGTTTTAAACAGTGTGACATTAGTTTTATGCCCCTTTAATTTTTAGAATTGTGTGGAGCCCCTTTATTTATGAAGATATGAATAGATAGCTCTGCCTCCATTTTTGAGTGATCCTTTCATTTCCCAGTATTTTATTGTAGAGATTTGTGAGTAGATATATTCCCTCATCTCCTAGGGCTTTAAGGCTTTCTAGGAATATCATCTGAACCCCTAGCTTTGTTGTTTTTTATATGCTTGAGTGGTTATTTCTTGTTCTGTTATTGGTTGTATAAGGTTTTGACATGGGGAGTGTTCGTCTAGATGTAGTATATGGGGATTAAAGTGAGAAGCTTGAAAATATTCTTTCCATCTTATTCATTATTTTTTTTTCCTTTATTATCATTTTCCCATCTTTATTTTTGATTACATTCGGAGCTCCGTTTATATCCTTAGAATTCTTTTCTCGCTTATTTTGCCCTTCTTTGGTATGTAGTTCTTCATACATGTCATCGTAGGCCATATGCTTGGCCCTAGCCACCGCCTTTGTAGCTATTCTCTAGGATTTTTTGTATTTTGTCTTTTCATCTGGGTTTTTGGATTTGTACCATATTTTATATAGGGCTTTTTTTCCTTCTTCATTCCACCACCATAGTTATTTGTATGATTTGTTGCCTCCCCTTGTCAAGCCCAGTGTTGATTTGGCAGTGTCTATTAATCTGGATGAGAGGTCTGTCTACGTTTTTTCACTAACTTGTGAAGAATCTATTGTTTCAATGTTTGCATTGATTGCAAAAACATCTGTCATTGATTTTAATCTACCTCATTATGCATAGTTCAAGTTTTATCTTGTTTTGAGTGGATTTATTTGTGATGTGTAAATCTATGACTAGTAGCTTGTGTTGAGCGGCAATATCTTCTCCTGGGATGTTTGCAGTCTATTATACATCTTTTAATTATCTGCAAGTGATAAGCATATAATCTAACTGGGGTTTCCTTGCACCACTTTCATATGTTATTAAATGATTGTCCTTTTTCCTATAGTAGGTGATAGTTAAGGCAAGGTTGAAGGCTTGCGCAAATTTCAGTACATGCTCTCCTTCATTATTTCTTTCTCCATATCCAAAACCGCATTTTTTGTAGCTATCTCTTGCTTTTCCCACATGCGCATTTATGTCACCACCTATTATGACTAGGTCATCCTTAGGGATTTCCATTACAGCTTCTTCAAGGATAGCTCTAAAGTGATCTTTCTCTTCTCCTTTGCAACCCTTTTGAGGAGCATATACTGAAAAGATGTGTAGTATAGATTGACCAATGTAGAATTTTATCTTCAATAGTCTATCAGAGATCTGTTGACTTTTACTACTGAGGAGGTTAGATCTTGACTTATGATTAGTGTTGTTAAACGGCTCGTTTTGAGCCGATTTTTCAAAATGGCTAACTCAATATTTTAGCCAGAGAAATATAGCCTAAGCCTTGAGATTTCGTTAATATATGTATCGACCTTTGTTCCTTCTATATGAGCAAAATCTTTAGGCTTGCGTAGTATTTTTCCAGGTGAAGTATTGAGTTAGCCGTTTTTAAAAATCGGCTCAAAACGAGCCGTTTAACAACACTACTTAGGATCATGCCGACACCGTTCTTATTGCTAACAATTCCATTATAGTACAATTGATACCCATCTTAAATCATTAAAGTCTTCTGACCTTTCCATTTCGTCTCTTGTATGCACGCTATGTCAACTTTTCTCTTGTTCAACATTGATAGCAATTAAGTGTACCAATATTCAAACCTGCTAACCTTGTCTTCTTTGCTTTGACCTTTATTTTACTTTTCGCAGGATGGGTCTACATCCTGTGCGTCGCTTGGAGGGAACGCTCTAGCTTTCATATTCGTATTTTCATTTATGTCCTTCATTTTTGTTTATTGGACAAGTATCCTTAGCACCCGGCTGTCCAAGTCTGTCGGTGACCGGCGTGTCATCTCTAAGCTCCAAAATTCATCTAATTATATGTCTTTACACATCATTCATTGAAGAAAAACCCGAAAATTTTTACGTTCCTTATCATGATCGAACCTGGAAACTTCTGTTTCCAAGCCTAAATCATAACCCACTAGCCACCCCGGCGATTAAAATTGGTTTGAAATATTAGGTTAAAAATAGATAGAAGATTTTTTAAAAATAACTCACACAAATAAGAATAAAAATAACCTCAAAAAAAATCAAAATTTTGTTTTTCTCTTAATAGTTGGTCGAATTTTACAAAATACCTTAAAATAATTTTCTAGTAGGATATTTAAGAAACTACACTGAGATTCTTAACAATACTTTCATTAAAAGTTTTTTGATTAGGAAAATATTACTTCTTCCAATAATCTTTTGTTTTTATGTTTTTCTTCAACTATTTTTGTAATTCTTTTGCGAAAATCGTGATATTTGTCCTTTTCTTTGAAGTGTGGTCGATCTGAGGAATTCTTTTCGTTCAATCCACCACAATTGTAAAGGGTTTTCAATTGAATTAGCTTTTTATTTTCAAAATGAGATTAATTGTTTTTTAATGTTATTATTTTTTTCACTTTTTGATAAAAAAAGAAATTCACTTTTTATAAAAATATGATCTCATAAAACTTTCGCGATGAAACCTTAACTCAAATAGTCGTAATCTAAATATTAAAATTTGATTAAGAACTAAAAAAAAAAATGAAAAGAAGGAGAAACATTAAAATAGAGACACTAAATAATTATAGAAATATCTATATTATACTTTAGGAACAAATACGAGGCACAGTGTAATGGTAGTGCCTAACATAATAAATATGCTCAAGAGGAGAAATGATGTTGATTGCTCGTTTTTAAGTACGAAAGAAACTGCAGAACCGACTATGCATAGCAACATGATATTATAAACGCTAATGCCTATGTACTTGGAATCGTTCAGCGCTGGTATTGTAACATGTCTGGTCTCCCAAGCTAAAAAGCAACCGAATAACTGTTTTATATTAACAATAGTTTCTATTATAGCATAATAATAAAAGGGTTCTTAAAAAATTGCAGTTTTCAAGGAAATAATATAAATTTGTGAAATCATAGCTCTTTAGTTTGCATATAATGAAATATTATCAAATTTACCATTAAAACCCCTTTGTAAGCACATAGTATGGCCATCCAAATGTTGAGGTAATGACTTGTGCAGTGCTCGATAACGAATAATTCTTCGATATCTGAATTTATTCTGGTCATCTTTATTTTATTAAAATATTATAATTAATAAAAATTATTAATACTATATACATTTAGCCTCCTAGAAAACCTAATCTTAGACCGGCCAAAAAAAGTTATAAGCCCCCTACATCGTCATTTTCTAATACCTGATCTGAATAGTGAATTTTAAATTAAAAAAATACGAACAAGTACACCTTTAAAAGTATTTTAAAGATATCATCGTCTTATGTCAAAACTATTTTAAAGAGTCAAAAATGGTGTCCAGGCTACTATTCTGAATAGAATTTAAAATTAAAAACAAAAATTAAATTGAGCTAGAAGGCACCTTAATATATTTTTAAGAAATATTTTTTAATAAGGTGGTCGAGCTCCATAATAATTTTTGAATTTTCAAGCATAAATGGGGTAGACCAGATTCAAAAAAATAACTTTAAAAAGCGGATTAAATTTTCTTAGGTAGATTCTCCTAATCATGATACTTTATGAGGTTATATTAAAAATTATATACACATATTTTAAAACTGAGCCTTTTATGATTTCCAGTGGGCGTTTATTAATTAAATTTTTTTAAGGGTCATTTGGGGATCAACCAAAAATATTAATTTATTTAAGAAGCTATTCTTTATTAATCTCTCTAAAAAAATTATATTTCTCTTCAAAGTTTCTTATTTTTAATAAAATACTTTATTCCTTTCAATTAATTTTTAAGTCTCATAAAAAAATTGTTAGATTTGAATTTTTTTTGAATCTCGCTTTAAAAATTCCTAAAATTATCCCAGACAAGTTTTTCCCTAAAGGAAATATAGTTCTGTTAATGGGAATATAATTATTTTTAAATCATTTATAAAAGAACAAGTTTCATTAACAACCTTATTATGAAAAGAAATTATTATTGGAAAATCATTATAAATATCTATTATGATATTACTTTGTTCGGTAAAGTATCTGACTTTTTGAAAAAAGGATCTATAATACTCCACAGGGTAAGTATGAATATATCAATTGATAAAAGCACCCCTATTATTATGAAAAGCTTGTAATCTTGAATTATCTATATATACAACATAAATTTTTACATAAAAGAATTTATGACTATAGATATCGACTATTCATAGTAAGGATTATTTTATTAACACGTTTCGATTTCATTGTATTTGATTAAAATTGCTACCCAATATCAGTGAATAGGTATTTTATCTAGCAATCGATATCCATATTTATTAAACGCATTTGACCATTTTATTATTTTAATTGAGTCATTTATTAGAATTATGTTCTAAAGTGAAGATCAACGATCCGGTTTTCTTAGCTTAATTGGTTCCACAATTCAGTTTTTACAATCAGTCGATGGTTTAGTTCGACTTGGACCGATTGAAAGAAAATTTATTATTCTTTTATAATTATCAAAATAAATACATGAGGGAGCATATATAGTTGACATATGTATAAAACTAGATGCGTCACATCTTAGAATGCTTGATGAAATTTTGTCAAGATAACCACTATTTGGGGAAAGTTATGGAAGGCATTATTAGAATGAAAGGTAAAGAATATTTTTATTAATATAGTTATGATAACAAAATATCTGGTTTAATTATTGTAATCATTTTATTAATAAAAGATATTTCTATATTGCTATTAAATCAATAAAATTAGTGAGCTCTACTAATCGGAGTGTTAAGATTGATAATAATTTAACCATTATATAACCAAGATGTAAGACATAGGAAAATTTACAAATTTTTGATCAGTTTAGAATTAGCCAAATAAACCAGGAACTATTTTATAAAATCATTACAATTTAATCAACATACTCATTAGCAGTACTAATAGACTCATTAGGGTTAATAGTGTTTGACCATCATAGCATCCAAGCTAATACTAAAACAAATGAAAATTTATAAATTATTTGACCAGTCTCGAATGAGCCAGATACAAGGAACTAAAGTTGCAACTCGAATTGCCAAGTAATTGCTAACTAGTAAAGATAGACAGGGGGACCTACTAATGTGTAATAAAATAAAAGTTTTTGATATAGAGATAAAATATTTTTGTCGCATATTCGTATCATAATTATCTATATTGTGATTGATTCACTCTTGAAATTTATTTTATTTATGAAGGTTTTTCTTCATCTTATGTTGTTTTTTTCTATTTATACATATTAGTAGGTCGCCCTGTCTATCTTTACTAGCTAGCGATTACTTGGTAATTCGAGTTGCAACTTCAGTTCCTTCTATCTAGCTCATTCGAGACTGGTCAAATAATTTATAAATTTTCACTTGTTTTAGTATTAGTTTGGATGCTATGATAATCAAACACTATTAACCCTAACGAGTCTATTAGTACTGCTGATGGGTATGTTGATTTATTGTAATGATTTTATAAAATACTGGTTATCAGAAACTTTTATTTTATAACTTACTCAAAATTAAACAGAGATACTTAAATTACAATCACATAATATATCATTATTATTTTAGATTTTGTGTTCATATTCAAAGTTTATACATGTAATATTAGAAAATCCCAGTTATATTTAATTAGATAACTGTGTCAAACAGGTAAAGTTATATTCTATTTATTAATTTTCTGACCTTTTAAAATAAATATTTAATACAATCAGCTTATGTATATATAGACTTGTATATATTACATAAACATAATTTTAAATATTTTATAATCTATTTGATCAGGTATCAATGTAATGAATCAAGTAGATTTATACATGTACATGTATTTGATTCTATTAATAATTTTTTATTTTGCTTGATTACTTAGATATACAATCAGTATAATTTTTTATTATAAAATATATGAATTGAAATATAATTAAATATATATAATCTTTGTAATGACTATATATTATATATATTTAAATATTTTGTTATCTATTAGATCAAGTATAAGTGTAATATTGAATCAAGTAGATTTATACATGCACATGTATTTGAATCTATGATAATAATTTTTTATTTTTGATTACTTTGATATACAATCTGTATATATATAAAATAAATGAACTATAATCTAATGAAATATAAGTAAATATATATATAATATTTGTAATTTTTAATTATAATCTAAATAAAATAATTAATAGAATCAAATTATATAAGGTAAGTAGTGAAATAATGACATCCCTATTATTTTGTAGTTTAATTCGTACATCTTACTACATTTTATCTTTATTTTAACTTTAATGTATTCCTAGCATTATTGTATAATGTTATATTCAAAAATATAATTCAAATACTATCCCTACTTCTATTGTGTATAGTGTAATAAATTAATAAAATATTATTTATAGATATTATATATAAAAATAGGATAGAATATTCGAAAATTAATTAATATAAATTTGATGTTAGAAATAAATTGAAATATAATTTAATAGTTGTATTACTACAAATGGCGAAGATAAATGGAGAAAATAATTCCTTAAATGGGGAAAATAATTCCTTAAATGAAGATTCAAAAAAATTGGCAGATTTATCTACGATTAAATTTGATAATCGACAGTTATACATCGATTTCAAGATACTTTTTTCTATGGGAAGCCAGTTTTCGGTTAAAAAACGTAAGTCCATCTGAATGTCAATATAAAGATATATTTTTAACATTTTTTGGCAATAGGAATATTGAGTTGATGGATCGTTTTTGTTATCCTGATTCGATCGAAAATTTATCTTTTAAGGAAATTAATTCAATATGTTTTAAATTATTTAAACCGACATCAACAGCTTTTGCTTCTAGATTTGATTTCGTTAGATTACGGCAGCGTCTACATGACAGGATTTTCACTGGATGCAAACCCCCTTGAAAAACCTTTGCCTAACCCCCTAAAAAATTGCTACCTTCGGCAACGATATTTCCCCATTATTATTTTCACCTTTTTAAATATAATGATACTCTTTTCAAAGAATTTATAAAGGATAACTTAAATTAATCTATCTCTACTACCAACTATCGATATTTTGGGAAAATAAAGGATATATTTTTTAGATAATAAATTCAATTAAATCCTCCATTATTTACAATGAATTCATTATTATAACTTTATGAGCTTGCTGAAATATTTAAACCTTTTAAATGTAATTTAAAAGGATAGCAGAAAGTTTTATTTGGAAAACAATATGTATGATTGTTTGCAATATATAGATTTGGTCGATGAATTGTATTATAATAGTTCTATAATAAAAGTATTAATTTTTACAGCAAAAAATTTTGTCCTATTTCATCTCAAAATTCAATAGACAATTCCCTAAAAAAATTTATCCTACCCCCATTAAAGCTGCCTACCCCTACCCCCTCAAATAGGATGCAAACTGTTCCTACCCTTCCCGCTCATGTAGACGCTGGATTACGGAGAACAACTGAAACCATAACTGAATTTTAGAATAAAATTAGAACAATTGGCAAACGTTGTCATTATCTTAATGATATTGACGAGCGTTTTCGTGATTAGTTTATGGTTAGCATGGGAATAACGGGATTGGAAAGAGATCTTAGAGCTCTATATCCCGACGGTCTTGATAGAGATAATAATGTACTGACTTTCCAATTTATTCTTGATCTGGCATTAGCTTCAGAGCGAGCAGATAAAGAAATAATAAAAATATGCCTGTTGTTAATAAGATAAATGATAATAACAAAAGAAATGATAATGATAATAATTATAAACATCCAATTAAAACGATGACTACATTTGATAAATGCTATAATAAAGTCAAGTATAATAGTACATTTGATAAAGAGAATAATAAATACAAATATAATAATGATAAAGATTATAATAAACTTAAATGTTACAAATGTGGTTTGATTCATAACCGAGAAGTGAGATGTCCAGCTACAAATGCAGCATGTAATAAATTTTAAAAAAAAGGTCATTTTGCAGTTTGCTGTAAATCAAAGAATTTAAATTATATAAGAGTGTCAAGTGATTCTATTCATAATATTTGGAAGATTCAACAAAATCGAGCAAAACTAAATGCAGAGATAAATGGGTTAGATGTTGAGATTTTGACACTGGTGCACAAGCGTCATTGATAGGAATGGATATATGGACAAGTATTGGACGACCAAAAATTAGGTCAACCAGTCCATTGACTGCATGTGGTGATCATCCGCTAGACGTTAAGGGCGAGACCCAAGTCAATGTTAGGATTGGATCACAGACAAGGACCCTATCAGTGATAATAATGAATACAACTGGGGTGTCTCATTTCGGATACCATGGATTATAGCATTCAATTTAGAAATGCCTCGTCAGGTTATGGTTAAACAAGTACGCAATTTGGTTAACAATATTGAAAAAGAAAAATGTTGCATAACACTAGATTCTAGAATTCGAGATTTGATTAATAAACATCAAGAAATTTTTGATGATAAGATAGGACATATAGGTGATTTTGCAGTGCGAATACATTTAAAGGATACCGTTGTACCAGGATCGTTTCCAGCCCGTAGGGTACCATTTCCACTTCGCAAAGCAATTGAAATGAAATTAGACCGATTAGTGGCTGCAGGAATTATCGAAAAGATTGATTCTACTATAACCAGGGTACAGTGGTCAACGCCAACCTCAAATGTACGCAAGAGTAATGGCGATATTCGAATTTGTGCTGATTTCAAAGTTACACTCAATCCCTGTTTATTGTATGACCATCATGTTATTCCTACCTTAGACGATTTGTTAGAGAAAATCCAAGGTGGTGATAAATTTACCGTGATAGATCTGAAAGATGCGTATTTACAGATGGAAGTAGAATCGGAATCTCAGGAACTACTAATGATAGTGACTTATAAGGGCTATTTCCGTTATTGACGATTGCCTTTTGGATTGGCAAGTGCACTAAATATTCCAAATATATATGGATGAGTTACTAAAAGATTGCCAAATGACTGGTGTCTCTATGACATAATTATTTCTGGTCGATATGATGAGGAGCACTTAAATAATTTGTGAATAGTGTTAGACAGATTACATGCAGCAGGTCTTAAGGCGAAATTGACAAAAGTGAGATTTTTACAAAAATCGGTTTCATTTTTAGGGGTGATAATTGATAAATTCGGCCTAACCCAGAAAAGGTGAAGGCTATCCGAAATGCATCAAAACCTAAAAATATACAACAACTTAGATCATTTCTAGGACTCGTGAATTATCATGAACGTTTTATTCGTAATCTACATTGTAAAACGGCGCTATTACATAGATTAACGAGCGTGAAAGTACCTTGGCGGTGGTCGAAAGATGAACAAAATTCCTTCGATGAGGTTAAGAAATTTTTATCATCCGAGGAAACGTAAATTCCTTATTATGCGCAATTGCCTATAATTTTGGAATGCGATGCATCTAATTCAGGATTAGGGGCTATGTTGTTACATCAATTAGTAGACGGAAGGACAAAACCTATTTCGTTTGCGTCACGTACTTTATTAGAATCAGAGAAACACTACCCTCATAAAGAAGCTCGAGGACTTTTATTTGGTATTGAAAAATTTCATTCATTTATTTATGGTAGAAAATTTTTACTTCGAACTGATCATAAACCATTAGAGTGATTATTTGGGGAGAAACGCGATTTACCTAAAATTTATAATAATCGTTTGACACGTTGGGCCTGGAAGATGGCCTCTTATGATTTTACAATAGAATATAGACCTGGTAATAAAAATGTAATCGCCGACGCATTAGGCTTCCGATATTAGACACGGAAGAGAATCAAGATTCTAAACATGCTTAGGATATTCGAAGTGTTAATTTGGATGATATGCAATTGTCAGAAAATATTCTACGAAAAGAGTCGAAGCAAGATTTAATATTAAAAAAAATAGCAATACATATTCAGCAAAGTTCGCGAAACTTTGATCATCATAAAAAGAAATAGTTAATTTTTATAATCGACGGGAAGAGCTTTCTGTCGATCGTGATATTATAGAATGGAATGGGAGATTGGTTATTCCTAATAAATTAAGAAATGCAGTGTTAGGAATGAATCACCGGGGACATCCTGGGGAAAATGTAATGAAATCTATTTTTAGATTGTATTGTTGGTGGCCCAGATGTGATGTTGATATAGAAAATTTTATCAAAATATGTTCTGGATGCCAGAAAAATCGACCTAGTATTGAAGAAGTACCTCTATATTCTTTCACCGGGGACATCCTGGGGAAAATGTAATGAAATCTATTTTTAGATTGTATTGTTGGTGGCCCAGATGTGATGTTGATATAGAATATTTTATCAAAATATGTTCTGGATGCCAGAAAAATCGACCTAGTATTGAAGAAGTACCTCTATATTCTTGGACTGTTGGTAAGGAATCTTGAGAGCGCATCCATATTGATTTTGCTGGACCAGTAGATTCGCGATATTGGCTAATTGGTATCGATTCCTACTTTAAATGGTTAGAAGTTGATTTAATGCAGAATACTTCTGCTGATGCTATGATAAAACGACTAAAAAATGATTTGCTAGGTTTGGAATACCCAAGTACATTGTGTCAGACAATGGACCACAATTCTTATCTGGGGAATTCCGTAGGTATTGTGATTTAAATAACATACGTCAAATACGTTCGGCACCCTATCATCCAAAAACTAATGGATTAGCTGAACGTAACTTTGAAAGGTCGGTATTATGCGACGAAAGATTCAATTAGCGATCCTGAAGAAGCTATGACACAGGTTTTAACAACCTACCGATTGGAAGAGCATAACTCCACAGGGAGATCTCCTGCTAAAATTATGCTTGGGAGGCAATTGAAAACAAGTCTGGATTGGATCCGATCAAATGCCGAACACGAAATAGTAAAGGCCAATGATAGACAAAGCCTCATGATTTACATTCAAAGGAAAGAGAATTTGAAATCTCACAACCTGTAGGGTTAAATAATGAAAATACCAATGGAGAGAGGGAGTAATTAAAGAAAGAATAGGACTTTATTCTTATATTGTTGAATCTTCCGGGAAAACATTACGGAGGCATGCAGATCAGTTAAGAAATCGCTTAGTTATCCCAAATCATGAAAGTTCTTTGGAAGTTACAAAAATGGTTGTGCCAGTGAATGAAGCAACACAAATACAAATACCACATTACGTTGTTCATCAAGAAACCGTAAACCTACAAAGAGGTTTATTGAAGAAATCTAACTTTAAAATGTTTGAAGTAAATGTAATAAATTAATAAAATATTATTTATAGATATTATATATAAAAATAGAATAGAATATTCGAAAATTAATTAATATAAATTTGAGTTTGAAATAAATTGAAATATAAATTAGTAGTCGTATTGTTTATAAATTAGTACTTGTATTACTACATATAGCAAGCATAAAAATATTTGCTCAGATGACTTGTTAACAAAGAGGGAAATATATTCACAAGCAAAATTATAAAATCTAGCATGTGAATTTGATGGCTCCAAAATGAAATATTTATTTGATTTTTTTTATATTAAATTTTATTGAAGATAATATTTTCTATATTAAAATAGATATTGTCACCGTTGTTATTTAGCATATTTTATCAAATCTATGTTTTCAAATAAATGCAGTTCTGTATATTGTTCGTATAGGCATTGCAAACCAAATAAAAATCCGTCCATCACCATTCGGTTCGGTTTTTTTATATAATCTACAAGATTTGGCACATCTTCAGAATAGATTTCGCGCCACAGTTTGACCTTTGAAAATTGGCTTCAAACCTAAATGGACCTAACCATTCACTATTTTGCTGTTTACCCTGCCGGTCTGTGTTTGACTTATATATACTTAGACCTGTGCGTAAACTGGTTATGGTCACGCCGAAAACGACGCTGATTATGAAAATCAGGCCGTGGCATAAATTTTAAAAAATAACTCATATTTTATACATTTTTATTTTACTGATTGGTCAATATAACAACTTGGTGACCCCAATAATAATAATAACAATAATATCACCCACTTAAATGAAAACATTAAAATCATATGTCACAACCAGATCGCATAGTTTATTAATTGTGCTCGAAAGCATATCTGGAGCTAATATAAATCTTATTAATAATATTTTGAAAAGAATTGGTAAACATTATTGCAAACCTATTAATCGGATCTCGTAGAGGAACTATTCATTTTATTTCCAAATTTAAAAAAGTTTAATTTTACACAAAACGGATCTCATTGAACTTGGCATTACTTTTAAGAAGTGTAATAGAAATCATTTAGTAGTAAATGATAATGATAGCAGGGAATATTTTATTTAATATGTTCGGTTTGCGATCTGCAAGTAATAATATTTAATTTTTTTTATTTATCTTTGTTGGTCTCTTCTAAACCTAAGATTTCAAATTATGGCAAAATATCTAATCTAGCAAAATTTCACATCGTCCGAATTCAGATTAACCACCTTAAACTTTAAAGAGTATATGATGATATTAGATTAGTCAACATAGAGATTGAAAACCAAGAGAAAATATCAAAGACAAATTATTTGACAAGATTAGCAATAAACATTCTATGACAACACAAATTAGGATTTCACTTTAAATGACTAAGAACAGGAATGCCATAAAATGGCCATTCAAAGGATATGGATTTTCTAAATTTTTGGAGAGAAAAGAGAATCAAATTTCCCAATCTTCACACTAACCAAAAAAAATTGATTCCTTATGTTCCGGCAACTAGCACCTAGTATCAAAGATTTTTCTTTACAGCTGCGCTGACGTTGAACAATGAAATTATCCTTATATCTGGAAAATTTAAATAAAATTATTTTTATACATTAAAGCTATAGAAAATTGAGTTTGAATTTATAATTAGTTTTCTTTTCAATAGAGATGTAAAAATATACCGATATCCTTTACTGTACATTTTTAATTTAGCTTTTCTTAAAAATTTATCAATTTAAAAAATATATATTATAAAAAATTATGTCGGTGTGCCGATTTACGCTGCCTACATTGTTGGCAGCTAAAAGGAGGCACGCCGCTGGCCACCGTTAGGACTTTTTAAAACTTGAGCTTGCCACCGATCGCTGACACACAGGTCTACATATACTTCATCAAATAAATCACAGTATGTAATATATATACCTGATCTATTTAATTTTTTAACATATATTTTAATAAAAACAAAAAGTCAAAATACATAGATAATTATTATTGTAATATATTATATTGATAATCTTATTTTTATAATTATCATATTCTTTAAAAACTGAAATTTATAATAAAAGTAATCTAAAATTTATATTGGTGTTTATTAATAAACCATTAAAAATAATTTATTATTAAAATTTTTATTAATTTCACCTTTTTATTTAATTTTACATTGGTAAATATTGCATGCACTCTCCACGTCTTGCTAAACATCGCCCCAAAAGCTAATGTAAATGCTAGTGACAATATCCAAACCCTAGCCTAAATTATTTTTGACAATTGATAAAATTTTAATAAAAGAATATTTGTCATTCATTTTGATAAGATAATGTTTACTACTAATATTTTTCCCAAAAACAATATTAATTAGGACAAAAATCTATGATTTACCTTAGGCTCAATTTATATTACGATCTCAACCAACATTTACAATACACCTTAAACAATTTCACATGTTAAATATTGGTTTATACCATACAAAGATGCGAAAACGAATTTTTATGGGCGTTTAAAGAATCCATCCCTAATAGAATGATCGAGATGTAAGCTAATACTCCGCCAAAGATTATCACATTGTTTAATAGTGGGCTGGACATTTTGATATGCCTATTTTAAAAACATAAGTTAAAATTTTGCATTGAAATAATTAATCAATAATAGTTTAAATGTTTAATTCAGATTCAGAACAATAAAAGTATTAACTATAAATAAAGTCCTAATCAAATTGTCTCAATTTTTTCCAACCAAAATATTTTAAATGACCTTTAAAATAAAAGGTTTATTATAATCGTTCATTCAAAAAATCTATCGATTATATAATAGCAATAAGATTATGGAAACGATTAGATTCCGTATATAGTATTTTGAAAAATGAAAAAAAAAATAGTGTAAAATATATAAAAGTTTTGAAGATCAAATAGAGTAGATGGTGCATCATTATGTTTAACCTTTGCTTTCTGTAACGAATATTGATGGCTAAAAATAAAATAGCCAATGTGATACCAATGCAAGCTAAACTGGATATCACAATATACATAATGTTGTTTATATGAACTGTGGTGTATATGATTTTTGGAGAGGCTATAGGAGGTCCTTTACCTTAATAAATTAGAAATAGATTGATGTATAATATATGTTACAAGTTTTCTTAAATACGATTGTATTAATTATAGGTTAGCAAATTTAATCAAACTCTAAATTATAGTTATATCAATTTTTCTTTGTAACAATGCTTAGGCGGTATGTAATTTAATAAGATTTGAAGCTTTCCCATTACATTTTTTTCTAAATTGAGACAAATATACATAACCATAAACAGGATATTTTAACTGGGGGAGGGAGGGGGGGGGGGGTAGAAAATTCGCATATGTAGTCTAAATCCAGCAAAAATAATTTTATACAAACTCTTAAAGCTAATAGCCGCTTTTTAATTAATCAATTTAGATGTAATATATATTTAATTAAAATATAATTTTAATTACATAAACTCAATGCTACTAAATACTATCGTTATTTTTTATGAAAATAGTAATGTCATTCGTATTATGGAAAGCAATGAGTAAATTATTTTTAGCAACGTTACTTATTACTTACTAAAATATGGTAGAACTTAAATATAAGTGCAAGATTATGATATAAGTTCAATTGAAGAAAATCATCATTACCACAGTGCAGATGCCAGTTTTGAGATTACTATCCAAAATTAAATTACATCATATTTTATTAAATATTTTTTTAAAATTCAATTAACTATGTGATTTTAACCGAGTTTTCAGATCAAATTATATTATTATAATATTGGTCATTCTTTAAGCGCACTACTTTTTTTTGTGTTGTAAAAAACAAAGCTACGCTTGATTCTTCATTTACCTGGGCAAATATTTAAGGGGCAAAGGTTTTTTGAAGCTAATTTAGGCAAAGATGTAGGGTAGTTATATCTAACATTTTTGCAAAGTTACTTTTAAGGCCAATATGGATTTAATCTTGAATAAATTAAAAAATATTATATCTATATATCAGTTGAACTAATCTTTAGCACAGCAAAAGCTGTTGTGCTAAAAGTTCTTGTTTATCTGATCAAAATTCTACAAAGAAATATTATAGTAAATTTTATCTAATCAAAATGTAAAAAAATATTATTATATATATATAAAAAGTTAGAAAATAATGTAAATAATAATTATAAATTATATTTAGTAAATTTTAATTGACAACTATTATTCAATCATAATAATATCGGCGAAAAAATAAAAATATTGCAAAATCTATGATTATATTTTCCTTTGAAAGGAACGAACTATTTTACTTTAAAAAAAGTATTAACGCGTTTATATAAAGTAAAAACATTCCTGAACAGTAAAGAAAAAAATAACGATGTTAAACTTCTAAAATAACGTTTAACGCACTATATAATCACATACTATTATATTAAAAATTATTCTAAGAGTTATTTAAGAACATTTCATGTTTCAGAAATTTATTAGAATTAGTCACTATAAAATAGACAATTTATAATATGCAAATTCAAGTATAAATTAATAAAATATCAAAATAGACATGTGAATTTGAGTCTCTATAAAAAAAATTTCTCAAAAAAAACATTGTAAAAAAATTAAAATTTTTTAATATGAAATTGATATATAAATTATATAAATTTAAAGTATATTAAAAAGAATAAATGTCGAAAATATAGATTAATGCACAAAAATATTCGTAAGATTATTACGTATAATATAAATAATATTCATAGAAAATAATATGGTGTATTAATAAATAGGGAAAATTTTATAATGTAGCAGATTTTTCAAAGATTTCATCAGTGCTTGTGTCACACCCTATGTATATTAAGAATGGCTAACCTATTCAATTTATTTTGCAAGGTAGTACTTCTCAGTAGTGTTATTAAACGATGTGATTTAAACTGATTTTTAAAAACGGCTTATTCAATATTTTATTCAAAAAAATATTAAGCAAACCTGTAGATTATGCTCATAAATGGCATCTATTTTCTAAATCTTGAGGCTAAGGCAATATTTTTCTGGTTAAAATATTAAATTAGCTACCTTTAAAATTGCGAAAGAGCCAATTGATAACATTACTTCTCAGGTTTTTTATTTACTCATGTTAAAGAAGAAAATGTTCTGGTAGAATTACTAATGATTAGAGTTGCCAAAATATATGATAATTTTAATATATTAGAATAGTTTAAAATGTGTCTGAAATTATGCGGTGCACCTATGGCATTTTTTAGAACATTATCAACCGTATTCCGTATAGCTAGTAATGCATCATGGACACTTTACCATACCCATAATAAAAATCTGTATAATATTTAATTTTTTTTATATCTAGATTTGAAATAGATTCGGAAGGATTCTGCGCAATAATATTTGTAGATTTGCAAGTGCTGCCTTATTAATAAAGAACCTTTTATAATTTATGAGATTCGCATTCTATATTTTCCCTAATGCCCCTAAGTTCCAATATAATGCTTTCAACTATTCTCATAGTATCAATCAAATCGATATCATTTTTTTGAAATATTTTACTTTACTTTTGGAGTGAAAAAGGTTTTAAAAATTTGATAGGATATTTTAAAATGGTGGGCAAAAGAGCTATATATCACGTAAAATGGTAGATAAATTTAACACCAAGGAAGATTAGCTTTTTATTTTTGATGTGAATAGTATCATTGAGAGTATTTTAGCTAACATCGGAATTTCACCTCCCTCCTTCTCCCACCGTCTCTGAAAATATATCAAATATAATAATAATATATTATAATCAAGATTTAGCAAAGATACAGATGCTGATTAAAACATTGTATTTAAGACACAAGATACTTGATATTTAGCAATAAGATATAAGATATTAATATCTTATTTAGTGTATCGAAGTCCAAGTTACATTTTTTAAAACTTTAAAATAGTCAAAATTAAAATGAAACAAGTTTATTTTTTAAATAAAATATGCTCTATTATAAATTTATAAAAAATATCAAATAAATTGTAGCTGTATTAAATTGACAAATTTTTTATAAGGTGATGCAATATAAATATATATTTTTTTAAACTGTATACTAGAATAATAAAAACAATATCAGAATAAAAATATAATTAGTAAATATAAATAAATCAACATCATAATTTCTAGATAATTTTTTATGTATTATTTCCATTTCATTATCAATATTAATATAGAAATTTATTATAATAAACTTATCAAATAAATGATATACTGCATATAAAATTAATATCATAATAATTGTGATTTCTATAAAATTTAATTTAGATAACTCTTCTGGTATTCTTTACTATGACTTCAAAAAATATTAATATGCTTAATTTATATTTGTAATCGTATTCTCCTTGTGTGGCATCTATGTCTTCACTTTCCTATTATATAATTATATCTTCATAACCTGGTTCATAATTATGGGGGTAATGATGGATGTATGGTGATTTTAATAGAATATAGTATATTTTTGGCAATATGACGATTAGTCATATATTACCCTATCTTTAAATATCTAAATTGGATTAAATTGTTTATTTAAATTTTAAAATAATAATTTTAATACTATTTTAAATAGCAAAAATAATATCATTTTAATACTATTAAATAGCTTAAATAATATCATTTTAATATTATTTTAAATCTCTAAAATAGTTTTTTTTTTAAGTAGCTGTTATCATATCCGATACATTAATTTATTTAATATAAAATATTGTTTAGTTAATTTTTAGAATAATTTTATACCATTTGACATTTATTTATTGATAAACATTCATTCTAATTATTCAAATTGTTTCTATAAAAATAATTTTTTATTATATAAAATCAAGACCGTTGGCAATTTATATTTCCACTTTACTTATTTCATTTTATATTATTATAACATTCAAATCTAACTATTATTTTCCTTATATAATGTTATATAATGGCATAATATTTATATAGAATGATGATTATGTAATAATAAAATAAATTTGTTATAATAGAGAAAAGTCTTGTTTTATCAAATCCTGTCCAACTTGACAGTATATGTAACTATTTTAATGCAAAGTTGATTGAGATACAGATAATTTTAAATAATTTGTATGTTGGATTCAAGATTTCTTTGATAAGTTTAAAAAAGATATAGTATATTGCATACACTATATTTTGAAAATATTAAATAATGTAAATTTCATAATATTTGTAATTGTATCTCTTTAAAATATTTAACTCTAGGAGTTATCTTTTTGAACTATTATGTTATCTACTATATATTATATTGCTAATATAGTTATAAAAATATAAAATATATATCACAGTGACGAAGCGTCTAATTTACTATTAGAGAAGCAAGCAAAAAATTAATTATTTTTATTTATTACAAACAATAGAAAAATAAGATTTATAAAAAAATGGAATCCGTCTTTGTTTTTGAGTAAAATGATCAAGTACTGATATAATATTGTTTGATCTAATTTTTAATAATATTTTTTCAATCGAAATCAAAGATATATTAGATCCCGCCACCCAGACTACCAAGCTTTCTTCCTATTGAAGAACTACCTTCTAATCCCAAGAACTTTATATACACTCCGATCGTAACGAATCTTTCAATACGATATCAACCTCGCTGCGCAAGAGCTCGTGATTAAACGCCTCACAGCAGATATACTCTTTCTTAAATTTGGAAACCTATCTTGGTTACAGGCTATTTTAACAACCAAGGCTGGCGGTTGGCATAAGGTCGCCTTCCCTACTTTCCGTTAGTGCGTTCATATCCTCGCTTGTCTTGCGAGATCATTATAAACACACTCACATCCTGACCCCTTGCTTCTGCAGACAATTGATCAATGCAAGCCTCTCTCATTAGTCGATCCTTCCTCATCGGCACTATAGAAGGACTGGGAGTAACCTCTAATTAGCAACTCCGTTGCATTCCTTAAAGAGGAGCCAACCTCAGGATCATTCGCTACTTCTCCATTTCCGCAGACTCCGGATACAAATTTCTCGAGGCTTTCCCATCGCGAAACCTTGACCAGCTCCTAAGCCTACGTCACGCGATCGGTCTTAGACTTAATTGTGATATGATACCCTATCACTGTATCCTCTGTCAGATATCTATCAACTCCAAAGGCGGTCACACTTTGCACTGCAAAGCGCTGCAGAGGCAGATTCATTAGGCATTCAAAATGCAATGATACTATTGCCAGGGCCTTAAAATCTGCCGGCATTCCATCAACCTTCAAACCTCTACAACTCTGATAGTAAACGGGATGGTTCTACGATGATTCTTTGGAAGAGGAGAGGAATTACTAACCTGGAATTTCTCCTGCATCGATCCTCTTTCCCCTACCAATATAAATAGAGACGCTCTACTAGACACCGAGACAAATAAACTCGCTAAATATTCGCCATCGCTTCTTGCCAACTACACATTCCTACCACTAATCGCCATGATTCTAACATCATTCGACTCTCATGCCCTGGCCTTCTTTAAAGAGTTGGAAAAACGGATCTCTGCTAGAACTGAGGATCTCAATGAGGGATACTATCTACGGCAAAGGTTAGCCCTAAACATGATAAAATGCAACTATCTCAGCTTTACACTCTCAATCACCGAAACCCCCTAATTAAACACTTTATGCATAGGATAGACTTAGGCTATTTTGCTCTCAATTATAACGTTGAGTAAAAAAAGGGAACTTGGATCTCAATCAATAAAAAATAGCAAAAATTAATGACTTTATATAATTGTGATTTATTAATATTATACTCATTTATTTATTTGCTTCCTCAATGTTTATTTTTTAAGTAAAATTATATTACCATATGATATTCTATTTATTTATTAAAAATTAATATATTTTAAATTTGCTTTCCTTAGGTATATTTTTTTAACGTAATAAAAAAATTACACCAAAAATATATCGTATGAACATGATTTTTTAAAACATTTATTTAAAAAAATAAGCAATATTAAATTTGCTTCCATCATGTATATTTTTTTAACATAGTAAAAATAATAGAAAATTTTTTAAGGTAGTAAGAGTAATAGTAAATTTTTTAACATAGTAAAAATAATAGTAAATTTTTTAACGTAGTAAAAATAATAATAATTTTCCTTAACGTAATAAAAATTATATAAATTTTTTTTAACGAAGTGAGTTTAGTTTTTATATTAAGTTTATTGAATTTTTTAGGAGAAATTTTAAGGGAAACAATGCTTCCCTTGCTTGTATGGACGCATCGTCACTGGTATATCAATTGTTTAAATTAGGAAATTTCAACTCATCTCTTTTAAAATTTACTATTGAAATAAAAAAAATTTAATACCACATTTGCCAATCTTCTCCATATCATAAAGATAGATAAAGCTAAAAAATGACTCATTCTGTGCATCTCAATATCTTAAACTGTCATGATAACAGGGCTAGTAAAGAACCTATGAAAACTTAACATGTAATGATTTAGAATGATAGGCAATTCACTTTCTTCTAATAGTTTAAGCCAAGATAATTCTATTGACGCTGAAAACGATTTAAAATTCTTAAAGAAATTGAAAAAATATGGTAATATTCAAAATATATCACATAATACAAAATAAGAGTGATAAATAGATATTATAAATCTTTAACGGCATCAAGCGGATTAATAAAACACTGATATTCTTGCATATTGGGAAGAAATTAGAGCAACCCAGAATCTACCTTTAACAACAATAGCCATGTATGTTTCATTTATATAGGTTTCAGATGGGAGAACATTTTCAAAATTGAAATCTGGAACCTTAATTAAACCAAACCTACATAGCAAAAGGTTAAAACTCTCAATATATACCCAACATTTTTAATTTACAAAATTACTGAGGGAGTTGGAGGGGGGGGGGATTTATCTATTTGGGGAGCTGTCTCCCCCCATAGGTATAATTAAGATAAATGTTTATATGATATATTTAAAACCGAGTATTTATATATTTTAAATTGTATGCGTAGTATGTATATTTGTTTTATAAACTATATTCTCTTAAAATATAAAACTGACCTGCCCATGATAAATTGAATCCTTTGGTAAAAGATATACCACCCTTGATACCGTCATATTCAGCTATCTTCATCTCCTTTTTATCTGTTTTTTATTTAAATCAATAATTTTTTATCCATTCATAAGTGTAAAATTCAATTTAAAGAATAAATTGATTTATAATAAAATCTGAGTACTTACTAAAATCGAGTGATGCTTGCTATTGCTTATGATAAGTTTTAAAAATTTCTTTTATAATGATATAGATTATTATAAATATCTGAAATTTTTATTTAAAACCTTGAACTTGATTGATTTGCAGAAATCCAATCCTATTTCCGTTATAAAATTTCACTAATCCCTATAAGAGTGCAATAATTTTAATTAAATCATTATTTTAAAAAATATATTAACTAAATAGTAGTACCACGAGTCCAAAAAATTTCGCTCAAACTATTTTTACCTGCTATGAAAATTTATCAATTGAATTTATTTGGATTTTTAAAAGTTATTTATATTAGCTTGGATGAAATATAGTCAAAAATTTTGTTAAGTGGCAATATTTAAAATAGAAATTAGCGAATGGTTATCGCTGTGTAACTTCCTTTTGTTTAATGATAAATTCTGCATGGCCAAATTTAAATCAGGTCTTGGCCCTTCACATATGAATCCCATATATCTTTGATTTTCCTTTCATTTTATTTATGATGAAAAAAATGAGAGTTTTGCCAAAATTCACACAAAAGCCATAATATTTTATATTTTTTAAAATAGATATTGACTCAATCTATATCATGTAGCATTGTTTTGAACCCAATTGTCCTAAACCTATATATAGCCTCAGATCATCACATTTTTGGAACATTAATAGTTCTTGCATTACAATCTGAGTGAAAGGCTTCTCATCAACCCATTTATGTTGCTGATTTGTAAAATATTTTTACAATATCATCAATAATTAATGAGGACTAATAAATATGGAGTTAGAAATTTGAGGAATAGTAAAATTTATGGATTTGACCCTGTTAGAAGGAATAATGGCTCCGGTTCTAAACTCTGATAGGACTCTGCGTGTCATATGATTTATAAATAAGTTGGAAATAGTCACATTAAATTCAATATTTTATAGAATTAAATAAGCAGATGTTTTATAAATTTAGAAGTAAATATTTATAAATTAAATTAAATTTATTTATTTATTATTGAGATAATATTTTGTCTCATTGACCATATCTCAATCAAATATTAATTAATTTTAAACACTTTTATATTATTTAATACTTATGTATTCCTTTATATTAATGATATAAAATAAATTACGAAGTAAATTCCAAAAATTTTACCATAGCATTTATACAGGCAAAAATGTTTTCAGGGAAATATTTATTGGCGGCATATATGTTTGATATAAAATATATATTTATTTATGAAATTATTTTCAAAATTATAAAGTATAATAAAGATAATAATACAAAAACTATCTATTTATGATCATTTTAATAAGGCTAAAGCCAAGAGTGTTCTAGCGTTTGAGCGCATAGTGGTAAAAGATAGCAAATCAAAAATCGAATGTAAAATGAATTCCAAATTTTATACATTTCGAGCGTTTGCACATTAAAATTTTTATCATTTATATTAATTCCAAATTATTTTCATATTTAAATGTAATAGTTGTATATAATATATTTTATTAAATGGTCAATTTCTCAATCAAACGCTAGAACGCTATGGTATACAAGGGTAATGCGTTATTTTAAAAATAATGATTACAGCATTTTAAAAATTTCTAAAAACTATTTCTTTACCTATTTCATTCCAAAAAAAATTCTTTTTTACCGTCACTCCAATAAAATTGGTAGCGTTTAGAGCTTCTTTAAATAATTCTGTCCACATTTGGGAATCATAATTGAAATTAAGCAAGGTAATCTCTTTGTTTTGCCTTTTAAGCTTAGCATTAACATATTCTAATGCTAAAGCTATTGCCCAAATCCCATCATAGGCATAGCCATGGAATCTGCTGTAGGAGTTCCCCTTCATTTTATTGTATTGAATTAAATATTCGCTGGCAGTCTAATTTTTTTTTTTAAATATATGATAAAATCTAGTTTATTTATTATAAATTTATTCTTATGGCATAGAAATAGATGTTTGAGTTAATGGTCCAAGCTTGGTATCAATTATTTGTTAAATAAAATTATTAAGATATTTAGGATTTACAACACAATTTCATCATATAATAACTCATACACGGCAGATATGATTTAATTTAAAAATTTCAAAACTCGTTTTTATGTAGCGTGACCTTTACGAATACAATTAGAAGTTTTATTTTTAAAATGGGGAAATAATATATAAATATATTTAACATATCCAGATATCGTTTTCGTCTCCGATGTACTGATCGGTAAAATATCTACCCTCAGCATATGTTCCAACGCTTCAAACATTTGATCGCGAGAACATGGCAAGGGGCTAATATCAACTTTCAGCCATATATCGACCATGCCACCTAAAAGTACCCATTGATATTTGGCTCCGTAAAGAGATTCCATGTATATCTTAATGATTCGGATTTTAAAATATTAGAAAATTAATTAGATTTAAATTTTAAATTTAAATATAAATTTTTTTGGTTAGGAAATTATCTTTTAATAAAAAGATCTTTCAAAAGATATATTATAAATATTTTACAATCAATATAATATTAAAATGTATATACACTAAATTATATTTGCGTATGATGACAATGAAATGGCAAAATATTTTTTAAATGCCTTCTCAGGTTTAAAATGCCAGGAGAAGCCTCACCCTCCTTCAATATATCTCTTTTTAAATTAATTTGAATAAATTTTGAGCTATTTTTATTTTTGTGTGGATAAATTTAAAAAAAAGCTGAGATTTTTATTAGTGGTAAGAAGCATAATTATCAAATTGATCGTTTAATTCTAGAGACCTACAAAGAAGTGAGATGGGCTCTAATTCCCGGATTTGAATATTTTTGTTATTATTTTAAAAAATAATTTTTGCTAATCTTTTTGTGAATCAAGAAAATGGTGAAATAGCGTTAGTTTTACTAATTATTTACCAGATTCACTCTCCCACTTAAGTTTAGAGATCTCAGACGAGAATTTTATTCTTCTGGATCTGCTTATTTAGTTAAAATTTATCTTGCGTATAATGAAAGTGCGATTAATAAATGTATAGTTTTGAATTTTACGTAGCAAAATGCATAGTGAGCCATGGTTTCGTTGAAGTAAGCTACGAATATTCTTATATCTTCGTTCTGTTTTTTTTTTGAAAGAGATACACAAATTTTAAATAAATTAATAAATAATTATTTATTTACCTTAAGTTCAATAATAATTTCTCGCAATTTTTCAGGGGTGTTAAAACTTCTGGACATGGCAATTTTTAGGTTATTAATATCCAGTTTGTTGAGTAAGTCGTCGTGTGGCTATTTAATAAAAGATCATATATATAGTTAAGTTATTAATTTATAAACGATTATCATTAAATAGATAAGTCTGATGATAAATTGAAATATTTATTAATTAAATTGAGAAAGAGGCTCGTTGGATACAGGAGAACGTTATTTACTCCATATATAATCAAAACTATTATTGTACAAATTAATAAATTTGAACTTAATACAGAGAATTATGTCATTCATTGGCTAAAAGGGATTTTAAAAATATTCAACATTTTAATTAATACAAGAGGAAAATTTGTTTGAGCTCAAATGTAACAAAATATAATTTCAAACTTTATCTTTTGCATCTTATATAATAAATTCTTAATCTGAATAAGCCCTTTTTTTAATCTAACAATTTTTAAAAATAAATAAACATATAATGACATTTATAAAATTAGTGGGCAAGTTGTTGGTTGGTTTGAGGTACTTCCTACTAATTATTGCATATTTATATTTTATTTTGATTAAAATAAATGCTATATAATATACTTATAAAAAAATTAATAAAATTCTTAAAAATCCCTAAATTTAATTTAGATTGTGTATTATGATATTATCTGCAAATTAATACACTTTAAAGCCCCCAAAAGTTAATTTAATTTAATTTTGATATTTTGACCCCTGTTTTTTGATGGACTAATATTAAAGTACAGCAACGTTGGTTCAAAGTTAAAAAAAATTCAAATTAAATTTTCTAACGAAGAATATTTTCTATAAAATATATATAAACTTTTCTAATGATTCAGAATATGTTTATCTATAAGATTAATTTGATATTATTGAATTTATTGTGTTTGAACAAAAAGTGGATGAACAGAAATCCCTTGTAATTAGTTTTTAAATATTTAAAAATCAAGAAAACTTATAATTCTTAATACGCATATTCTACATTGCATGAGAAACTATAGTTAATAATACAGAATTGATAATAAATTTGTTCAATTAAGCGGAATTTTTAGCCCTTTTTTCTAAAGAAGCAAAATAATGATCAGTGATGGATATGTTGATGATTTTATCTTTTTGTTATAATAAGGTTTATTTTTTATCTATATGAATAGAATATACTTTAAATTTTTCAAAAATATTTAAAAAATTAGTGGTATCATATAGATACCACCTGTTCCAGCCAGATCTAGAGGCATGATTTTTTTAAAAAAATTTTACATTAAGAGACATTGCATTTATTGCACCTTCATCTTAGTAAATCTGTTTTAACTATCACAATCAATCATTTAATAGCTTTAAAAACATAAAATCTTATCTTTATTAATTAGTAAATTTAGAAATAATAAAAGTCATATTTGGTTAATTCCGGTTTCAAATATAATTATATAAAGTAAATCAATTCTAATATTTTTGGGGTTTCAATAAAGATGATCTAAGTATATTAAGTATAAAATAAATATTTTGTAAATGGTTTCCAATCATATTACCCTGCCTGAAAGGATTAGTATATGTTATATTGTTCATAATTCATCAATTTAAAAGAAAAATCTATAAGGATAGCAAGTAAAATGTGTTCGACTAAATTCCTTCCAAACAATCTAATCCTTATTATTCTTCCTTATTTTGGGTCTCCGCTATATATATTTATAATGCCTATTTTAACGAAACTTAAAATGAACAATTTATTCAATTATTATTAAAATGTAGAACAATATTATAAAATATATATACTAAAGAGTATTGAGGGTCATCCTGGAAAAGTGTACCCACTTTTGTCCAGTTAAAGGTATTAAGTAGTTGTACTCCGGCAAAGTTAAAATAATTTAAGCTGGGAACTGTTCGGTAGAAGTTTGGATAGGTTTGACGAGAACTGAATTTTGGATGCATTTCAGCATATGATACCTTTTTATATATTTGATTTGATTATACATTAATTGCATATAGGTTAAAAGTGGCAGAATATATAAATGGCATATAAAAAAGTGTTCCTAGCAGTCCTAAATTTGAATATTTACTAAAAACCCCTGTCAAAAAAGCTCATATTTCTTACCAACCAAGCTATAATGATAATATTATTATATTAATTTATAATATTATCTTAAATAATCCATCGTTTATACAGGGTTAGGGGTATTCAAAGTCCATTAAATGGTATATTAAGTAAGTTTGAAGTACCTAAAAATAAAAATATCTCAATTATATGTTATGGAAGAAAAATTTAATTGAATATTTTTTTCAAATTTTTTTTAAACTTTATTTTAATCTTTAAAAAATTAAAAATCCAAATAATTTTTTTATATAAAAATTATTTTAGTCTTTTTGGTTTACGATTCTTTTATTTATTTTTTCTAAAAAGACCCCAATCAGAAGAATAAAATATAATAATAAAAATTATTTATTAAAATAATTCCTTATGAAAATTTTTAATTTAAGAACCCCAACCCCGTTAATATAAACATCAAGTTATTAAAATTCAGAAAATATAAATTTCAAAATTTTTCTTCAAATAATTGAATAATATATTTTGTATATCTAATGTTGATAATCTATACATGTTCAACTACAATACATATTTTAAAATATAATAGAAATAATAATTTACGTAGTAATTTAATTTTGTAAGAAAATATTATATTTTAAAATTGTAATCTCATTTTTATTTTCTGAAATTGGCATCTTATATTTTTTATATAAATAGAGAAAAGATAAAAATATATTTAAAACATTAGTAGGTATAAATTTATATTATTTTTAATTTTTATATTTTATTCTTGATTTAATTAGTTTTCAAGGTCAATTATTGTAGAATTAGCACTTATGGCAGAGTACGAAAATGCTGGGATGGATAAAGAATAGTTAGATAAAAAAGCATTATCAAATATTGATGATAAATTTGTGGGAATATTAGAATAAAAATAATCAAATATTGAGAAGAAATTGTGAATGTTTTGATTATTAAAATAAAAAATAGTTTCCAAATTTGAATAAAATATTTTTTATATTAATACAATTTTTGAGAAAAATATGAAAAAATTTCAATTAAAATATTTTTCTTCTATTATATAAATAAGGTATTTTTATTTTTTAAGCACATATACCACTTAATGGTCTTTGTTTATAAATCACCTATAACCCGATATATAAGTATATCTATTAATGAATTGAACATTTTGTTAATTTGGTTTAGCGGTATGATATTAGAACATTATTACTTTTGAAAACTATATTATCAATTTGAATTTGTATATACTTATTGTTATTGAATTCTTTACAAACTCATTATTTCAATCGTCTATGTAATATACCCTTTATAATTATAGTATTCTATCTAAATTATCCAACAACCAATCTTAAATGATCTTTAGATGTTTATTTGTAAATAAAAAATTAAAACTACCGAAAATCAAATACAAAAAGATAATATAAAATAAATTATATATGTTTGTTGAAACTGATTTTTACAACAAAAACAAAGGACAATACTAAATTTAGAGTATAAAAATTATATAATTTCTGCTACCATAATAAAAATTGCAAATTAATGCACAAAAATTATCTAATAGTGCAATAAAAATCATATTTTATGATAATCTCTACTAATTTGATTGTTAATATTCAGCACTATTATATGGCATATGAGACAATAAATATTCTTTAATTACTTTCTGCTATCATTAACAACTCACAAATATTTACATTTATACGTTGAGTTGATTTTTATAATATTTTATAAATATATCATATAAACCAAATGCTATAGTTTGTTGCAATATTATATAATTTATATTAGAGATCTGCCGGGCCTATTTTAAAAAAAAATTGGGTTCGGGCTGGGTTAGGAATATTTTTTTAAAAAATTTTGGTCAGATCGGGATGGGTTTTGGAATTTTTTTAAAATACATCTAAATTTAACAATTTTATCTTGAATTTTTTAAACAAAATAAAAGTATTTGATTTTATTTATAGAACTAGACACTATATGACATATATCTTTTATTTTGAGTAATTATAATATTTCTAAAGACTTAATTTCATTTAAAAAATTCGGGCTGGGCCGGGCTTGAAAAATTAGGTCCGATGCAGATCACTAATTTATATAAAGTAAACTGACCTAAAAAAATCTGGAATATTCTATATTATATTTATGCATCAGTTTTAAAAAATAATTAAAATAACGTTAAAAAAATTAAAACTTTTTATGACCTCTCCCTGGAAATAGTTCTGATTACGCCTATGATAGCACGCCTAAATCAACAAATTAACTCTTTAGAAGGGCTAAATAATAAATAAGAGCTAACTAAGCCACTGCGACATTATCTCTATATATTTGATTTCAAAATTTAATTAGAAGATTTTCATTTTTTTTAAATTTATCGATTAATTTCCCAAATTGAAAGTGAAAATCTGCCTTTTAGTTACTCTTCATTATAAGATTTGAAATAATTGATTAATTCAATCAATAAATAGTCATTTTTATACTAATGGACTTTTTGAAAATTAAGAATTTTATTTGATATATAATTGATTTAATTTTTAATTATTTAATATATACATATATCTATATAAAGTAATTTAATAATCCCTTTGGTATAAATGAGATTTAATTGAAATAAATAAAAGAGGATAGAATTTTAAATTAATTAATTTTGCCAAATATTAATCTTAGAGGACAACTCAAATTCTTATTTTAGAATAAAAAATAAACAAATTGATTAGTTAATTTTATAATTTGTATAATAAAAAATATTCTTTACGCTTTTGTGATGGTTTTTTATTTTACCATATAAAATAAAAGTTCTTAAATAGGAGTTTTTTTAAACGTTCAAATTTTTAAGTTATAGCGGATGCTAGATATAAATATTAAAAAAAAATAGACCACAAAAAACCTGAATCAAATTCCAAAAGGGGGAAGCTTCTGCTATTGGAGCTGTTACTGAAGTGCAGGCACCACCGAACAACATCAGTTTAGGGGGTGGATTGAACATCATATCGAAAAATACTTTCGTGCCTTCGGCAGCTTTGCACTTTTTAATCAATAAATTTTAATAAAAATTATATAAATTTGAATTTTACGACAAATAAATTAATTTTAATACCCAAAATATTTTAAAAAATAGTCAATTTTAGTTTTCATTGCCTAATTGATACAATATAAATTTAATATATTGGATCGTCAGTTAAAAAAAATTAGCTCACAAAGAATTTCTTATGCAAATTTAAAAAATTTATATGAAATGTTTGAAAAACATTTTGCTCGTGACAATTTATTTTATCATATATAATTTGATTAAAATGTTAATTCTAAACTTAAGTAAATATAAATCCTAATGACTTATTTAATTAAACTAATCTTATATAATCTTTTTAAAATGTTTAAACTTAGAAAACTTATTTTTTTTTATCTCATCTAAATTATCAAAAGTGTATAGAATAATTTATAATACAACTTATTTTATGAAATTATGCAAAATATTAAGGTGTCAAATTTAATTTTCTATTATTTTTAGTTAGATGACTTTCCTAATACATAGCAAAATTTTATAATTAATTAAAGGAATACAAAGCATTAAAATATATGAAATATTCAAAATTCCATAATATCTACATTAGAGGTCTGCACTAGGCTTTTTTTAGCCAACAAACCTGCCTACTCATTAATTTAAATTTTTAACCCCCCCCCCCACCCGCCACCCATGTTTATTTAAAGAATTACCGCTCACCAGCTCATTTATCTATAAATTTTGTTTACCCTCCCAAAAATTATTTTAAAAGATGGTTTGACTCCTCACCGGTCTTGTTTAAAAAATATTTTTGCACCCACTCGTCACGCCTAATGTTAATAATATTTTATAAAACCCATAGGGCAAGCTAATCGCCCGCCCATGTAGACTTCTAATCTAAATCAATTAAACCACGTTGTTAAAAGAAAAAATAACAATTTGCAAAGAACAATATACAAATATTACCAATAGAACAATGGCGGAATGCCATTTGGAAGAATGTATAACATTCAAAGTGTTTGGTAGAAATATCTAAAGTCGTATGATAAGAAATGAGGAAGCATTCCACTCTGATTCACTATCATGACTTTATATTCATAATAATATAGAGGAGGCTTAAATTATAATGGTAGTATTAATGTGTTTAGTGGTAGAAAATAGTTATGAATATCAATTTTTTTGTTGAATAATAAGTTGTCATCAAATTTACAATTTTACTAATCATTTTAATAAATAAAATTTAATAACCCTACACCCCTTCCCTTCTCCAAAAATTGAATAAGCATAATGATTAAATATTACGTAAGTATTAATATTTTTTTGGAACTAATAGAAAGCATTTAATAAAACTATATTTGTATAACCAATATTTAAATTTTAATGTAATTATATAATCATGATAAATTATGGATTATTTTATAAAAATAAAGTGCTGATGTACCTAAAATAAACTTTAAAACATGCTATTACTTTAGCACGCTATATATAATGTACATTGTTATCAAGAAAATTATATAATGTGACAGTGTAAATTTTTTTTCAAATTAATATATCTTTTTTAGGTTAAAACGTCCATATCTCTCTGGTCTGGTTATAACAATAAGTAATAAATAATAGTGTTGAGTTAATTTTCAAACATAACTAGTTATAGTCACTAGTTACATTGCTAAAAATATAACTAGTTACAGTTATTAGTTACATTTTTATAAATGTAACTAGTTTTTAGTTACAGTTACATTATAAGTTACTTTCTGGTTCTTATAAATTTTAAAATGGTCTATTAATTTTAAAAATGGGTTTCAGGTTATGTATTAAGAAATTAATTTTTTAACTCAAATATTTGCAAATATGTTATTTATATATAGAAAATAAATCCGGTCATGGCCCTTACTCGATTAAGATGGAAGAAACTTATCAAAACAAACCCCACGATTGTGGTACCATATGCATGATAAAGAAGAAGATATAAATTGTTGCAAATATTTATTTTAAACTTATTGAAAATATATATTTTTTAAAATGTTAATTCAAATAGAACTGTATATTGGAGTTTTTTTGTCAAGAAAATTGTTATAATAAGAATAATAAGGGAAGGGTATTAGATAATTTATATTTTATTTAATTATATATGCATTACTTTAGATCATAGAATTAACCTATTTTTTTAGAAGGCAAAAAAATCCTGAACAAGAGGATCATGACAAAAATACCCTTAATTCCCCAATTTTCAAAAAAATTAAATTATCTTATAGACTTAAGGTTATTTGATTAATCTTTTGTTGAAGGAAATGATATTTGATATCTGCATTATAATATTTTGTTTTTCTTTCATAGTCTTTGTCTTTTCTTATTAGTAAATAATGATGACTAATTTAGCATTTTATACAAAAATTATTTAATTCCAAAGTAATCTAAACCTTTGTCTTTCCTTATACTAAGTTTTATGCTCTAATTTAGTAAAATTTATAAAAAATACATTTATAACTTATGAAATTCCAGAGTATAAATATTGCCAGCAACCTGAGAGCAAAAAATATAGAAAATATAGTGCTATTATTAAAAAATAGGTTTATTACTTGAATTTAGTTACAAAATTATAAAACCCACCAATATAAAAATTTGAGAAAAGAAAATCTATATGGACATATCCTTTGCGAACACAATCAGACATTTAAACAAAATTTTAAATTTAATTAAAATTAATTTAGCACAAAGCTAGTCCCTTGGAACCAAGGTATACCCCTCGCTTGGAATTATACATGTGTAGATCGTTTTACCAGATCTTTAATTTCAACTTTATCACGAAAGCTGAAAATACAAAAACAAATAAATATAGCCACCTTAATAATCTTTTGTTTGTTCTGATAGTCTCAGACACCTGTGGATTATTTGGACCCCAAGCCTTAAAATTATTCAAAATGATCCAAAAAAGGCTACTACCTATGACAAAGAATAGCAATCAAAATTTGTCGATCCAAATGTATATTATACATGGGTCATTAAGCCCCGCCGACCAAACCTAAATACATTATTTTATTTCTCTTCTTTTAATTATATATTTTTATATAGAATATAGATATAGTATTATAATTTTAAAAAAACATATTAAAAATAAATTAATTACTAGAATATAATTATTTCGATTTATACATATATATTTTTAAAAGTAACTAATTACTTTTTACATTCCAAAAAATATAACTAGTTACAGTTACAATTTTTAAAATTTATAGTTATTTTTTAGCAAAATAGTTACAGGGTAATTAGTTATTTTAACAACACTAATAAATAATAAATAACATTATATTATATAATGAAAATGAGTTTTTTTAAATTCCCATTTTTTGTTGAAGGCTTTTAATGTCTCTCGATTTGCTAATTATTGGTAAGAACATGCAAAAAATTTGCAAAATACTAAGCCCCCCATGACAGACTAATATTTTTAATTTAATATCATGTGTGTATTATATATTATAAAAAACTTGAACTCATTAATCTAATTAATTGTTAAACAAATACCCAATTTTTTTCGAGCTGCTAAAAAATATAATGTGGTTTAACTATAATCATCGTATGATAAACATGTTATTATTTTTTAACATTTCTCTAGAATTTTAATATTACAGGTTATTACTTATTATATAATAATGATTCATATATATTAAAAACAAATTTTTTATTGTTGTTGTGATTGCCTTTTTTCTCAAAACTTTTAACAATTGAAATTATTTAAAAAAATTAGTAGCTTATACTATTATATTTTATTAATTAAAATGTAAAAAGTAACTCTTTGCATTTACAGTTACTTTCTAAATTATAAAAAATTATCTTATTTTCAAATTATTTTAAAGGAAAATATTCGAAATAAAATAAAGGGTGGATCAATTTTTTAGCCGAACTTTGACCGAGTTGAAGTTTATCATAGTTAATCTGAAAATTTAAATTATAGAAAAATTTATATATTATATTAAGAATTATTGTTTGTAATTACTTATATTATTTTTTGGAGAGGGGACCGAATGTTATTTACATCCTTTGCAAAGTTTTAATGAAGAAAGATCCCGCCATTATTAGTTTATAAATATAATGCTAAAATATATGGATAAATTTTTTTTACTCAAAAATTTTTTAAGTTTGGAATGGACGCCCAACATACATAAAATAAAAGAATATATTTATTTTTCATAAAAATTTTTGATTTTAATAAAATATTATTAAAATTAATAACCAAAAAGGCGTTCCCCCATTTCTACAAAAATGAGATTCCCAAGACTAAATAAAGATTCTTAAGCAGAGAAGTGAGGTATTTTATTTGGTAAACAATAATCAACATTTAATAAAAATATCATGAGAAAAGCTAACAATGTATATTATTTGATTTTACAAAATGTTTACATTTTCATCATAAACATTTAATTTGCATTTACAGAGCAAAATTAATATCCTCTGATATGTCTTATTCTGTTATTTCTCATATTATCTCAGAGTCACGTTGTGTCAATTCGCTAATTATTTTTAATTTAAATTTTTTTCTTCTTCTTTATCCAGGATAAAAAATAAGTTATATAATAGCTGTGAATAATGTTCTTTATATTATTATTAATCACTGAAAGAATCGCCCCCAGAATCGAAAAAAATATCTCCGTAAAAATGGGGAAAAAACATTTTATATAGAAAAACGGCAGTCAAGTTTAATATTTTGATTTAATAGAACGGCTTGCGCCATAAGTTAAAAAATATTGCATTAGTTCTATATTATCTATTTGCGAATTTAATTTCTGATGCGAAAATATTAACTATCATCTATTTTTTAAATAAATCACTAATAATAATAAAAATTAAAAATGTATTATAACTTCTCTATCAGGCTATTATATTTACAAATGGTAACAAATATTTTAATTTAAAAGGCAATAAATATTAGATTCAAATAAAAAAATTAATTTTTTTAAAAGTTGATCCATTAATTTAACCCTAATCTTGCTCAAGGTTTTTTCCGAAAAACTTATCACGCCGGATATTGA